CTCCAAGGTGAGCAACTGCGCTATCCTCTCGCTTTCATCCGTGTCACATGAAATAAGCAAGAGCGCGCAGGACTTCGCGCGCGGCCTATTCGGATATTTGCAAGTTCCGATGCCCGTTTATGGAACCAAAAGTTACTGGAAGAAGAAAAGTGGTGGAGAAAAATATGCGTAGGCGCAAAACGAAACTTCGATCCAATGGTGGGTTGCAGAAAAGGGCGTAAACACTGATTTTATTTCTATTATATTGGTTATTTTTAAACATAAATACAGCTTGCAGCCTTTATTGCAACATTACAACCCTAATATTTCACTTGAAATTAAGCATGTTCATTACCCTCAATTATTCAAAAGGAAAAGCGATGCGGTGTGGACTATCTTTGCTATGTTCAGGTGGCTCTTGAGGATTCTACCAAAAGACGCGACGCGCAGAAAGATACACTTGCTCTGGAAACGATCCTGCCAATTTTTCAAAACAGTCGGAGTGCCAGCGGCCAGCCTGCGAAGGGTTGCATTCGATGGCGTACAGACACCTCGATCACGTATGCTACCGAAAGCGTAGCCCTCAAAAGCAGCACATATTCTTGAATTTTTTAAGAACCTAATTTGAGAAAAGGACAGTGGTCGAGAACAAAACTTCCCGGCTTTGACAACGCTTCCCCAAAGGTTCGGGCAAAGACACGAGCGAAACCATACGAATCGTAAGTTCTGACATCAATGCGATCGGTGCCCCCCCCCCCCCCCCAAAAAAAAAATAAATAAATAAATAATTAAAATAAATAATAATAAGCAGAAAAAAAAATTGCGATAGTTTAAGTATGGCGAACCAGCGCACAGCCATCTTGCCTCAAGGCAAGATGGCTGCGCACTGGTTTGCTATACTTGGCCCAGTCGACCATCTTTCATCCATCCATCCAACCAACACAAGGCCGCGCACCGCGCAGGAGCAGGGGTCGCGAGGAGGTGCAGCTGGTGGAGCCAAGAGCTGGCAGAGCGAGCTGTCGACGAAACGTCGCAACATCTGTCGATGAAACAAGCGTTTTCTCGTTTCCACGATACGATCTGTCGAAACATCGCAGTGTCGACAAAACGATTTGTCCATGAAACGTCGTTCGACGAACTGATTGCCACCGCTTTAGCTTTGCTCACTTACACTCCTGTCTTTTGCTGCGAATACGATGGCTCTGCTAATGTCAGTGTGCTACTTAGAGATGATCTGAGTTGCACAATAGGACGAGCTCAAATTTGTGATACTTTCCCTGTTCCTCCACTCAACTGCACGTCCACGTCCGCCGCTGGTGCACAACACGTGGTTCGCGGAGGGTTTGCTACGGTTGATCGAATGCCATTTCATCGAAGCACGTTTTAGAGAATGGGCACGTTTTATCGAAGCACGGTTTAGAGAGAGCAGAGCCTCAGTTTAGAGAAACGCCGTTTATCGAAAAGAGGACGCTTTTTTAAAAAAAAAAAGGCTTTCCAACTTCTCGCGTGAGGGAGGCACTCACTTGATCGAATGACGTTTTAGCGAACGCTCACGTTTCATTGAATGACACTTTAGCGAACAGTCGGACGCCGCAAAGCGGCACTTTCGGGTGGGCCAAGTGGGTTCACACTTTTGTAATGAGCCGCCGCAGACTGTCGCCGCGAAGCGGCGAAAGCGCAGCGCGGCGGATGGGTTAACGCGCGCCCCCGTTATTCGCTAAAACGTAGATTCGCTCAAATGTCGCTATTCGCTAAAACGTCATTCGGTCATGTGATATGGACCCTTTTGGTGAAAGAGGGGGTTGTAATTCTTTACGGTTCTGGTTTCACACGCTTCCATTTGTCATACAAATTTTATTCAAGACTGATTAATGGAGTGGGTGTCCTGTTGTTCATTTGTGGTCTTTCTTGATGTTAGCACATTGATAAATAGCAGTTTATTTTATTTTTTGTTTCAGAGTGGCACACCAAGTTCAATGATAGTGTTCTACACGAGAAGGACGAAAATGGGGACCTAATCGCTAAGTGGTGTAAGAAGAGTGCCAAAGAGTCTGATGGCTTCTGCATTATTAGTAGTACTCCTGTGCTCTCAGTATGGTATCTCTGCAATCAAGTGCCATGCATCATCAAAGAAGCACATAAGCAATGCCTCGAAGCTTCGAGACCCTGAAGGGAGACTTCGCATGTCAGGTCTTGTTCAGAGTAGCCTCGACTTCAGTCGATACGAAGCAACAGTTTCTTTGAAAAGCAGCATTGTAAAGGCAGGAACTGTTTTCGCGTTGTCCGTGGTTGCAAGCTCTCTACCTACACGTGGGGGGATACCGCAACAGCCATGTACCCACGCATGTTCCCAGACTCCGAGATTGCAAGAAATTTCAAGTGTGGACGTAAGAAATTGTCGTACGTCCACACCTCTTCAAGTCAAAGGTGATCGACGAGCTTGTGCGGCCTAACGTGTTTTACGCGGTCATGATTGATGAAACGCCCAATCCTGAAGAGAAAGTTCAGCAGCTGGATGTGCTCGTGCGCTTTTACTCTGACACTGCAGGACGCGTCGTCGTGGAACATCTTCAGTCGTTTAATCTCTTGGCCACGCTACCACACTGCTTTTATGTGCCAAAGAAGCACTTGTGGAGCTGCGCAATAGGAACTTGCTGTGCCTCTTCACCGATGGACCCAACGCCATGAAGAGCTTGAAACGAAAAGTCAAAGAAGATCTGAGCCCTCATGCTTGAGATGAGCGAATGCACCCTTCACAAGATGCACAATGCGTTTGCGGCAGGCCTCCATTCCTTCTCCAGTGACCTGGAGTTCATCGTAGCCGATGTTCACCACTATTTTAAATTAGCAGCGAGAAACACTGACATGAAGCAAGTGCAAACGAAGCTAGAGCTTCCTGTGCTCGAGTTTCTAAGACACGTGAACAGCCGTTGGTTGACACTACTGCCTGGACTTGAGCGACTCCTCAACCAGTTTGAAGCGCTGCAGGAGTTCTTCTCGAGAAATATACCTGTCAGAGCGGCGGCGCTAACAAGGCATGAGCGGCTTGCAGCGGCATTTTCTGACAAGGCCCTTCGAGCAAAGCTTTTGTTTGTGAAAAAATGCAGCAGAGCTTTTCCAGAAGTTCGAGACACTTTTTTGAAGTCAAGAACCACTTCTGCCCATTCTGTACGAAGAAATGGTTCATCTTGTAAAACAAGTACTCGGACGATTTATGAGGCAGGGGTCCTTCTCTACACTGACTGGTACTCAGCTTAAAACTCTGGATGTTCACTCGTCGGCGCTGTGGAAGGAAAGACCAGAGGTTGGGCTGGACACAGAGAAAGCATTAAACTCGTGGACGGCCTCTGAAGTGAAAAGTCTTTACATCGGTGCCGGTGCGTTCTACATTGCATGTGCCGATTACCTGCTTTCGAGGCTGCCTTTGGACAACAAGATGCTTCTCTATCTGAAGTTCTTGAAAGCAAACCATGACTCGTCCACCGTGTCTGTTCGACACATTGCTTGTCAGCTCCCACAGGTCATCCCAGCTGGTGAGGTGTCTGCCTTGACAGACGAGTGGAATGCCTTAGCATGTGAAACCTGTGACGGGAACTTGACAGAAGACCTAAACACCTACTGGAACAAGGTGTTTTCTTTGAAGAAAGCTAGCTCGAACGAGTGCAAGTATGAAAAGCTTGTGAAGCTGGTTAAAGCTGTCCTGTCCCTTCCCCATGGGAACACTGACTGCGAGCGTGGTTTCAACGAAAACAAGTATGCCCTGCAACACCGCAGTTCCATGAGCATAACGAGCGTTTCTAGCCTGCGGCAGACGACACCTACCTGAGACAGTATGAGGGGGATGCTACGAAAGTAGAGCTAACCAGACCTCCCTTGAAGTGTGTACGAGATGCTGGAAAATGCTGCATGGGATGTGTAGAGAAGGGACAGGAATCCTTGAAGAGGAGACGGGAATATGAACCGCATGAGAAGAACGAGCGGATGAAACTCCAAGAGAAGTCTCATCTGCTGAGCAGGATGTCCTCAATGAAGTCTCTCCCAAGTAGTGCCCAAGAACTGATTAATCTTGGAGTCAAAAACAAGGACCTGGGGAAAGTTGAAAGTGGCACTGTCCTTCTTGATGAGGCAAACGTAGGCTTGCCTAAGGTGCTCAAGCGAATTAAGCAAATTGATGCTGTCTTAATGAAACCAAAGTAAACAATGTAACTAACATTCAGCGGAATGCTAACCTAGTGCAATATTGCATAACATTTTATTGTTTGCTAAAGCTAAGTGTGTTCATTTCTTGCTTCAATAAAATAAGTTAAAATGTTTCTTTACCCCTGCCATGATTCTTGTAAAACATTTTTGACGCAAGAAAGTTGCTGCGACTATGACATCTTGGCCAGGTGCTATGCAAAGCATCCTTTTTATTATAAACCATTAATTGTACTCGGACCTTTGTGAATAATGTTAAGTAAACCATGCAGAAAATAACGACACTATCTGCATAAACATGTTAGTTAATGATGACAAAGGGAGGTTGCAATGCTTTTTAGTTCTTGTTAAGGGCTCACCAAGTTTCAAGTTTAGGCATCCGTTGCAATGTTCTTCAACCTAGTTGAACTGATCTCCCATCTCCTGAGGCAAACACTCTTGTTGCTCAGTGCTGCTAAGCACAATCGAAATTACTCCTGACCTTATCTAAGATTCAGGCTGAAGTGCCCCTTACCTGAAATGAAATCTGATCTGAGCTGCTCCTAACCTGCTCCAAAATGTAGTTTGGGCTGCTCCCAACCTGCTCCAAAACTCTGAGCTGCTCCCAAATACATTTCATCAGTTCCACCCCTGATATAAAAGCAGCCGGAACAATCTCTGTTCAGAAAACCTGTTGGCGTCGGGCCGGATTCAGGTTCACATTTAAGAAACCTGAGTTAATGCCATGCTCAAGCCTCGTCTCTATTCGACCGGGTCTAGACATCCCATTCCATGCAGTGCTCGCTTCATTCATATGCTTGGATGCCTTGCCTGTATCCCTGCAGTGAGGGCCAAGAAGCAGCTGCGCCATGTCCTTCAACAGAACAAGGACCTGGCGTGTGCCCTGGAGGCTGCCAGGGCTCGTATTCTGCAGCTGGAGAGTGGGAAAGAGCGTCATGACAAGGTGTATGGACTCTGCCTCCCCCAGGTGAACAGTCTTTCATGGTTGTCACTGCCCGTTCAGCGGTATTCATGTGAGGGAGAAATCTTGGCGTTCCTTTTACTGGACTGCCCGTCTTGCGGCAAAAACGTCGGGCTTCTGCAATGCAGCGCTACGACATCAGCTCTGCGGCAGAGAGAGAGGGATGTTCAGGCGGCACAAAAGATTGCAGTTGGGCAGCGCATCGGGTTGTTTTTCATGATAGTATGGCAATACATGATTTTGTGTCAAGCGTAGAGTCAACTAAATTCGTCTGCGGCGGTGTAAAGAGGGGAAGCTGCTAAATTAGATTGCAAACGCCGACATCCCTCCCCCCGATCCTCCTTTCAGGACTTTTTCCTCGTGCGAATGCCACTTTGGGAGATTGCAGAGCAGGCAATGCACAAGGGGAAGTTGGAACAAAGCATGTCTCGGATAGCCTTTGCAGTACAGATTTACAGAGGAACTCTTGTCCTGCGTTCTTGCTCTTGTCCAATTTTGAGCCACAAAGGCTATAGATCGGGCAATACTGCTTGTTTTACAATACTGCCAGGAAAAATAAGCGCTTTCAGTGTGCAAGGCATGGGGTTGCTGAAGAGTGCTCAATAATGTATTCACAATAATTTCAGAGTTGTCTTCAGAATTCTTGTCATATCCCGATTGTCGTATCCCCTCTGACTGGAGTGGAACCTTGGACAGCCGCCTCGGTGGCTCCGAGGCAAAGCTCCAGCCTGCAGATCCCCAGGTGGCGGGTTCGAATCTCGGCCGAGGTGCCCACAGTCTGACAGAGGCTTATTGCGGAGAAGGCGCCATGTAACCAAGCTTTCAGTTGCACGTCAAAAGATCCCCAGGTGGTCCAAATAAATCCTCAGTCCTCCTCTGTGGCCCACCAGATGTCCGTCGTTGGTGGGGCACATAAAACCTCCGAATTTGACTTTTTGGAGCCTCAAGCAGACTCCTCTCTTGGAAACTTTTCTAATCGGCTTCTATCTTGCCTCCTCCAATGCTGTCCTTTGTAATCTATAATTGATTGAATTTTGTTCTATGAGGAAGCGGCCACACGTTTAAACTCTGAGTTTGCACCTTACAAACACCAAGTCCGTGACCTTTACAGCATACATTTAATTGATCTGTTTATTTGTGACCATACATTCAATATACGGCGTGCTCGACGACGTTCAGGACCCTGACTTTAGTGCGTCACCAAAGATTTTAATGGCGAGTGCCGAGCAGTTTTCCCGTCTTTTCCCCAAATTTTAATATTGCGATGAACACATATCAAGCTAAAAGGATTTTGCGCGAGGTAAATTACTTATTGCCGTCTGTTCCTTTAGGGCTGTTAAAGTGCTTAGTTGACGGGGGGAAAAAAAGTTTGATCAGGCTCGGTTCTGGAGGAGAATTCATTCACAGACTCGATTTAGTCACCGACAGTTTGAGAAGGGCAGGAAGGCCCGTCGGTTTCTTTCTCCTTTCTACTTTCGAAAATGCTTCGGCGACTCGTGCTCTTTGAGCGTGCACGTGCAGCCAAAGCATGGTGTAAGGCAACGAGCACGTGCTGGAGGCCTGGCATTCATTTAATCATTTATTTTCATTTGCCCTAAGGGCCCTTTAGGCATTACATGGGTGGGAATCCATACAGAGAGACAACACAGTAACAGCAGCGATGAGCCATACACACAAAAAAGAAGCCTTGACACACAGGAAAGTAGGAAATATAGTTGTAGAATTCAATTGCTGTACTGCAATGGTAATATTATACAGATTCAATAAAAAAGAAGAAACGTTCAACAACATACTACACAACTATGGCTTATCTACGACGAACAGAAATGACTAGCGTAGGAAATCATACATCCGCCCATTCCTCACTAACCGCTCATTTATACTGGAAGCAGATCCGCGTTCGCAAAGCGGTTGCGAACGCAGTTATATAAAGATCCAGTACAATTGCACACGCACTCGATGACATCAAGTGCACGTACAATTGTACTGGATCTTTATACAACCACGTTTGCAACCGCTTTGCGAACGCAGGTCCGCTTCCAGTGTGAGTGAACGGTAAGCGCCCATCGTCATCTGTTGTCGTCGCCCCCCTTCGGCTGTGCGGCGAGCGGGGTGCAAGCTTTAGAGTGTCTGGTTTCAGATCAAGGCCTGGACGGAGGACAACGTGAAGCAGGTCCACACCATCCTGGAGAACAGCCTTCGGAGCATCCGCCTGGTGGCCGACATCCTCACCCCCAGCCAAGACCTCACCCTGGCCGAAGACGGCGACGACACCGGCCAGGAGCTGCTGTGAGTGGGCTCTCCTAAACTACACATCTAACGTGGTTTCAGAAAAAAAAAAAAAAAAAAATTGAGGAATGCTTTTGGACGAAGCCTCCCAATTCCAAAATACACTTTCCAAAAGTCCGCGCCATTGCCTGTCCGCCATTGCTTGGGCACATACCTCGAGCATGTATTGGACATGAGCGCTGCGTCAGCGTTCGACGAGGGTTCGCAACCAATTGCACGCTTCGTGCCCGAGAAATTGTGACCTTCAATGTTGCTCGACGGATGTTTGAAAGGGTTCATGTCCGTGGGTCCAAGCATTTCCTTGCCAAACTTAACGGGCAAATTGATGTGCGGAGTGTGGGGTAATGCCGCGACTTGATGCCGTAACATAAATTTCACTACTAAATTCGGCAGGAAAATTGATGTCGGTGACCTGATGTGTGACCTTGAGACGTGAGACGTGGTTTTACGCAACACCATGACCTGACACCGGGACATAGACTTCTCTAAGCCGTAAATATAGCTCTAAAATGTTTTTTTTTTCTTTCTTTGTGAAATTGTTTTATGACATCCTTTTTTTCCATCTAAGCTGTTTAAAAAACATGTTTTTTTTTTCCTTTGCATGTGTCCTTTAAGGGAACACATCCCTAGGAGGGTCAACTTTTGAACCCTTGGCTTAAAATGATTGAAATTCACAGGGTAGGCTGGTGGTCATGCAAGAGGGTGCATAACAAAATTTCAGGTCTGTCGGTTAAGTGGGATGGAAATTGGGCAGCTTTTATCAGCAATATGCCTGCATTGTTTAGTTAATCTATCGTTGGAAAACTATCACAATGTTCAAGAATTTTATTCGCTAGTTATGTAGCAGAATGCCTAAGAGATGCGGCTATGGAAGGCTTTTTGTAAAAAGTAATTTATTTCTATCCGTTTTCTCTTCTGCAAAATTGATCAACTTTTTGGTCTTCTGTGTCTTCGACAAAATGCCCACATTTTTTATAAAAGACATCCGTAAAATGACAAAAACGTTCCATAGCCGCATTCCTTATTAAATTTCAGTCAGGAAAAGGGAAGAATGAGCCTTCCCTGTTTTGCTATTATCAAACGATAGATTGACTAAAATGGAATTTATACCAAAAAGTTGAACGGAGAAAAATGCATTCAAAGTGCTCCAAACCCTACCTTTTCTTTAGCTTCGGTAGACAGAAAATAATTTATAAAAAATTAACTATGCAATGTATATTAATTAAAGTTAATGGATGTAAATATGTCATTTTACAAAATCAACTTTTTTTGCAGAATCTTTTTTTTTCTGGGCAGTGAAAAAACTGTTAGGAACAAAACCATTTGGTGCAAAACAGATGTCGCGCAACATTGGGGGATGTGGAGAAGACCCGTGGGAGTCCTCCTCAGAGTTTGGGGGGGGTCTGTGCTGCAGTCAGAGGTCCCTTCACCCACCCGGGAGCCGGCTGGTGGGGTGCCCGGACTTGATGGATGTGGAGGAGGAAGAGGAGGAGGGAGAGACTGACGTAGCTGAAGACGGGGCGGCCCAAGAAACGCAGATACCGCTGTCCTCCAAAGGTGGGTGCAGTTTGACATCCTCACTTTGTTCGGTCTGTCTGTCCATTTGGGTGCCCAAGTCCCCTTTTTGGAGGTCTTACAAAAGATTTGGCAAATGTACACTTTTTCAAAGGCACTTGAAATGATTCTTCTTGGACAACATTATTGACCTTGGCAGACATCGGTAAAAAGCTGAAGCGATAATTAGCAGACTATTTACCTAAAATACGCTAATTAGCTTTTGAAAGAACCTTCTTTTCACGAGGAACTACTCATTTTCGATACTCGACAAGTATGGCAAAAAATTAATTGCGCGAATAACTTTGTGGCAACGGAACACACGCATATCACCCCGAATCGTGAAATCTCGTGCCCCACGAAGTTTCCAGAGCCCACACTTCGCAATATTTGTGTAACAAAAATAAAGTTCCGGTTAAACCTCAACAATTAGAACATGCTCAATTATAACTTTTGGTTTGTTCAAACTAAAATTTTTATCCCGTCAAAATTTAATTTAAATGTGCGAAAACTCCCGGTAATTTGAACGCGCAAGCGTTTGCGACTGTCAATTCGAACTAATTGCACCGCCGACCATGCTCTCAGCAGTGCGCCAACTCCAGGGCTGTGAAAGTTCAAACGGCGCGGGTAGACACAACTCGAGTTAGGGCCTACACTTGAGTTTCCAACTGCCCTATCGTGGTCACGTGGTTTATGGGCTGCATTTGCATTATGGGCTGCATTTGCATTATGGGCTGCAAGGACGTGACAAATGTGTCGGTCGTCCGCGCGCGTCTCCACCTTCCCGCCTGCTCTCCTCCTTGCCACGCAAAAAGGCACTTGCGACCAATCTCTGCCATTAAAATGCAAATGCTCCCCAGTGCTTTAGATGGACTCTCTGCAATCTAGGTGCTCTACGTGCAACCGCGTGCGGACTGCTTCTCTCGTCTCCTGTTGCGTGTGTTAGCTTGTTGCACATGTGCCGCCTAACCTGCCCTCGCCCGAGAGGTTGCCTATCCCGTTTTTCTGGCTAAATGTCCATGGGCTTAAAATTCTGAAACATTGCCCACCCCTGTCAGACATCATGCTACCATATTTACTCGATTCTAGGCCGGCATTAATTCTAAGCCAATCCCCCAAAACAAGAAGGCCGAAAAAAAAAAAAAATTCTTGATTTTAGGTTGATCAGAAAGGCAAAGGTAAAACACCATAAATTAAACACAGAACGTCATTTATATCCGACGTACAATACTAGGTCGGCCATGAAGCCGACGGGGGTGTTAGCTGTTTGTATCCGCGTTTTCAAATAAAGATAGAAGCAGCGCCGCGAGTCGCCAAAACAAACAACAACTTTTTTTGTGTGCGGGCACGCATTTGCGAGGGAGAGAAGGGAGGGGGAAAGGAGCAAGGTGCTTGGCTGGCATGGCACATCGCATCCTTCTCCCTCCCTTTCCCCTTTTGCGCAGCGAGGGGCATGCGGGAGCGGCGCCGGCAGCGGAGGCGCGAAACCAGACACCTGAGGTATGCGCACGAGTGGCAGCCACGGGGGACGGCCCTCGGTTGTTTTCGTGCACCAGTAGCTTTCTGAAACAAGAGGTGGGGCTACTCTACGGTGACCGCTCAGTGACTCGATAGCTCCATCATGCCCTCAGTAGGGTCGCGAAATTTGGTCACAAATGTAGGTCGAAATTCTTCAATCACGATTGTAGGTCGACCCTTAATTTTTGAATGCCATACACATTATTAAATGTGTCGAAGTTGAAAACATAAAAATCGACTGTAGCAGAACTTGGTGCATCAAATGGAAATAAGAAACAGTAAATCTTTTTTTTTTCGGGGGGGGGGGGGGGGGTTATTGTTTCCTCTCAATGCTTACTTTTATCAACATAGTCCTGCACAAAATTTTAGCATTATGTTCCTTTTTCGACCGTTGCAAATGTAACTGTCTTCACTAAAAAAAAAATTCACAGCAACCTTTTTGCATTGACTCAGCAATTTGAAAATAATTACAATATTTTATATTTCAACTTTTGGCAAGCCATTTTTCTTACAATATTTTGCGCACGTGCACATTGGCACACGCACAACTGCGGTGCACATCTGTTCTCCTGTAAGAACGACTGTCGCTTCCCGCGATGCTTGGATAGAAAATGGCGTACCATTTCGGTTCGCACGATTGCCAGCGACCTCCACGCTTCCCCGTGCCCCGTTGTTAGGCAGCACCATGAGTTGCGGAGAGAATTTTACAACAATGTGAAATGACTGGACATTTTGAAAACATTTTAGAATTTCTCGTGGGACACGAGCCCCCGATGCGGGGCAGTCCCGCAAGTCGCGGGACGGATGGTCATTCTAGGATAATGGCTGACGCCGTGGTGCCATCCCATTTACACGGTGCTTAGCGGTCATTTCTGAACTCTATTGTTGTTCTATTCCCAGAAATCGCTCACCAGATACTTTTCTCTTTTTATTTCTTTGAAATGGGTGGGCATTCACACTGGATGTTACAGGTATCTATGGGAAACGGTCGCTTTAAGTTTGTCAAAATTAAGGGGAACTTGCAGTGAGAGAGTGACTCATGAATGGTTGGCAGGTCGGAAGTGTTCCAGGGCTACCCGACAGGTGGCGCCAGCGAGTCTGTTCTTTCGCGAGCGGGTACAATACGCTCGGTCTTGCCGAAGTGCAATTCTGCGAACCGGCCTTCACAAGTGTGCCTGCGTCTCATGTGCAGTGACGGTGCGTTCCCGTCGGCGGCGTTACTCCTCCCCACCGCCCGAAACGTCTGACGAAGAAGCGGCGGTGTCTCCTCCCCGACTCCGCATGAGCTCATACGCTTCTTCGGTTGGAGCAGTCCAGACTCCCCCAGTCTTTCAGCACTCAGGTGGGCTGAAACTTTCTATGCTGTTGGGGCATAAAGTAGCTGCAATGAATGTTAACGTACTTGGCATAAAATGACGAGCGTGCACTTGGGTCGCAGAAAGCGCCCACCTCCTATTTTCGAAACGTCCAAAGTATAGGCAAAGGACGCGTCGGGCGCCAGCAAACTTGAAGGTCTACAGAGTTAGTTGACAGTGGTGCTTCTCTGCGTGGGCTGCTTCTTTGTCAAGTTGGTGCAAAGAGATGGAGCTTCATGTCCGTGTTCGAAAAGCCGGCCCAAAACAAGAATGAAGAGAGCCTCCAATCATAAAAGCGGCATAGCCGCTTTTAAGATTGGAGGTTCCGCCAGACCCCTATGCTGCTCCTATATCTTTCCGTCGGATCTAACGAAGGCCTACCTTCCCGCGTGGCTTTTCTGATTTTCTGCTCTCGAACCTAACAAGTGCTCGTCCTCATTTTTTTTCTTCACGGTTATCTACAACTTTTGCATGGATACTTGCTCAATATATTATGGTACTCGAATAAGATTCTGTCCCTTCTTTGCGCATGCGCATGGCCGATTGTTGTGGTCTAGGAAAGAAACCTGAGGAATCTGAACGATCCCTGCTGGGGGTGCCTACACCAATGCTTAGTGAATGGCATCATTGCATACCCCAGCTACGTGGGCTGCCACACCCACACGCAGGGGGCACCTACTTTAGTAGGTGCTTGGTGAGTGGCGTCACTATGAATTCCATGCCATGCGGGCTCACCCAGCCACGCCTGGCTGCGCGTGACTTAAACCGTGTCCGGGAAAAAGGGAATCCCGGTGGTTGAGCTGAGCCTGGGGTATGTTTTGACCCTTCGGGGCCCCCGGCCAAGGCAATATAGACGCTCTACACATGCGCCAGATTCTTCTCTCGTCTTACCCAAATGCCGAACCAGCAAAGCGGGCATTGACAAGCTTCCAGAAAGGCCAATGCTGGGGAGAAGGACACAGTAGAATCTAGAAATGGCAATAATTCGCCCTGCTGTGGTCATGATGAAGTGAAGCAATCGTAATAGTAGGAAATTAAAATTGAAGGTCTGCTATGGCGCCGCCCATGCACAGTTGCTGCAAAGTGTCCATGCCGCTTCGGCCCCTGCTTCTCGTAGACGGGTGTCCTGGCTTGACCCGACCAGGATGATTCAGTCAGTCGCCCTTTCTACCCTCTTCTTCCTTCTTTCACTTTTCCTTCCGTTTCTTTATCTTTCCTTCTACACTCTCATGTTTCCTTTTTCACCTTCTTCGATGGCAAGCGGCAACCTTGGGTGGAGACAAGTCTTGTCCCTGCAACCACACCAGTGCTGCTCGGGCACTACCAGTGCCCTGGCAACACTGGTAGTGTGATTGTGTCAGCCAAGCCCATCCTACCCCCTTTGTTGGGCTCCGTGGTGGGCAGTGCACCAGGGCACTAATGTCCTTCCCCTAGCAAAAACAACCCTTACCGAGATTTTACTGTTTATGGAAGGTTTATTATCACTACCTATACCATGTGTCCATTTCTGTCACAAAACAATGAGATGTTGACACATTCTGATTCAATAGTAGTAGCTATATGGCGGCATCAATCTACGGTGTCGATGTAAAATGCAGTGAAAAATTTGGCGCCTGCACATAGAAAGCTCACATTTTTAGGGAAGGTGTATTTTAATCGTGGACACATTCCACGAGTACAGTAAAATCTTGGTTATTCGAACCGCAAGAGGAAGCCGCCTCAGTTCGAACAAACGAAAGTGAAGGACAGTGTACTTACTGTGATTTGGAAGCAGTTGGGCATGTCGGCAATTTAATGCTTCAAAACTTCCGTGCTCGTAGTCTGCCTTTTTTTCTTGAAGGCCACAGCTAGCACTTTTTGCCCTAACGAGCGAATGTAACGCGGGGCCTCCTCTTCCCCCTCTTCAAAACTGAAGAAGAGACGGGCGGCATTCAATCCAGCCATGACCTCCGCAGCGGAGGGCCGCACTGGTGCTTCGTCTTCCTCCTCCTCCTCGTCACTGGCAGCGACAGGTTCAGCGCTTCTGACCTGAGAAATGATTTCTTCATCCGTCAGCGCACCACACACCATTGCACTCGAGTCCACATCGACATAGCAGTCCGCAAAGGAGATGTCGTCCAAAACGTCCGCGATGGGAGCGGTGACGCAATCTTCGAGCTCAAGTGGCTGGTTTCCTTGTTGCAGAGCTTGAGCTTGCGCGCTGAAGCTGCAGTGGCGATAACAATTTGCTATCGTAACTGCAGTTACTTGCTCCCAAGCACGCAAAGGCATGTGTAGCGCACTTAGGAGCGTCACCTGATAGTTATTACACAAAATAATTCACTCCAACAAATGGCACCGGTAAAATGATTTAAAATTTTTGATGATACCCTGGTCCATGGGCTGCAATGCCACTGTTGTGTTAGGTGGAAGAAAAACTAGCTCAATGGCCTTTGTCCCAACTTCGACCTTATGAGCCGAACAGTTGTCAACAAGAAGCAGAACTTTCCGGCCACAACGCTCTAACCTTTTGTCCATCTTTGCTAGCCACTGTCCGAACAGTTCCCCCGTCATCCATGCTTTTTTGTTGGCCGCATAGTTCACTGGGAGCGACCGGACGTTCTTGAAGCAACGAAGACTTTTTGATTTACCGATGACCAAAAGTGGCAGCTTTTCAGTTCCTGTCATGTTCGCTGCAACCAATACAGTTATCCTCTCTCTGCTTCTTTTCCCTCCAGTGCACTTGTCGCCTTTATATGCGATTGTTTTGGCGGGCAGCAGTTTGAAAAATAAAGCAGTTTCGTCCGCATTAAATATGTCCTGCGGAGAGTACTTCTCCATGTGGCCTTGCAGCACCTCGGAGTGCCAAGCTTCACACGTTTCAACATTTGCGGCCTTTGCTTCTCCCGACACAGCACGGAAAACGAGGTCGTAACGCTCACGGAAACAGTGCAGCCACCCATCTAAAGCAGCAAAGTCGTCGTAACGTAGCTGCTGGGCGAAGTCTTCACCAGTATGACAGGGCCGCTCAGTGGAATATCCTGTGCACGGATGTCCTTAATCCAAAGCAGAAGCACTTTCTCGAGGTCGGGATACTTTGCGGGCCACATCCTCTTCCTTTCGTTGGCAACTTTTGCCGCCAAGGCGTCTTCAATAGCCCTCTTATTCTTTATGTAAGCAGATAGTGTGCTTTTCGGTATTGCATGCTTCTTCGCAATTTCTTGCTTTGACAAGAGTCCGGCGTCCACTTCCCGCAGGATGTCACTCTTCTCTTGCAGTGTTTGGGCGCGGTATTTGCCGCGGGCACACTCCACCTTCAAGTCGCAGCTCTTGGTCTGACTGAGCCACACAACCAATGTCCACCAAAACGAAAGTTAGCTGAGGCTTAACACCACCGCAAAGAATCACGACAGCCGGTTACTCTAAAGCTGGAATACCACGTGCACAACCGACAGAGACTGCCGAGACAAAGATGCGCGAGCGTAAGCGTTGTAAAAGTAGAAGAGGGGAAGAGCACCGAACATACATTGGCGAAGGTGGTGATGGCCCCGATCGTCGGTTCTTGATTGCAAGCGCAGCTGCGACGCACTTGATTCGCTGTGTTTTGGTGCTTGCCGCGCCATCTGCCGCTCAACAACAGCAGCTACACGACAAGATTTGCAAAGCCTCCAAGATCGCTCGCTCGGAGGTCACGTGTACGTAGAACGAAAAGGAGGCAGCCGCCGCTGCCTTCTGGCCGCCTCCGCGCCGGTTAGGTTTTTCCCAATTTCGCCTTCTCTCACCGTTTTCTCCGTTTCGGAGGCGACGCAGCCTCGTGTGTAGGCAGCGGGGCGCGTTTCTCTGGCCGTGTGCCAGGCGCGAAGCCGCCGGCGCGGTGGCACATAGTTCGAATTATCCTTGGCGGAACCTACTCGCGTTCGGATTGACGGACTTCTTCATACATAGACTTCTATGGAGCTTGGCCAGACCAAACCGTACAGTTTGAATTATACATAATTTTGAATTATTGAAGTTCGAATTGACGAGCTTTCACTGTACACCACCGGTGGACGCGCTTGTTGTTCTGTAGTAAACCTTCACTGCCGATTCCCTTTTTTTATTTCGGCACGTTTCAAAACAGTCTGGGTTTATAATGGGGTGCCCGCCTGAACATAGCATGCTGGCTCACCAAGAACGAAACGGTGGTTCGAAAAGCAGACGCAGAAATACAGGCTAGAATGCCGCGATTCTTTGACGTCTCCGACGACCTCCGTGATAGCGGCGCTTTAACACAAACTGCAGTGCGATCTCTCCCTTGACAGCCTGTGTCGCCGCTAAGGCCTCCTTTTTCCTTGGAAGTTTGGATACTGCATCCTCTTAACATGCTACATCTGTACAGTCCCTCGTTCAAGAAGGTCTTTCTTCTCGCGTGAACCATCTCCCCGCCGTCGCCTGCGGCAATTAAACGTCGACGTGATGTGCCTCAGTGCCAAGTGCCCACCGCGCACCGTGGGTGCTCAAAGTGCTTGCCGCGCAAAACAAAGCTACACAGACCGGCGGACCGCGAGAGATGAACACGAGGGTCCGCGCACAGGTCTGTTCCAACTATAAACTTCTCCTGGCTTGCCAGGGGGTTAAAACAGCGTGCCGACACTGGGCCTGACCAATCGAAGCATTATACAATATTATTGGTCCCAGTGCCAGTGAACATCACACCAATCTCGGAGAGATTGTGGAGGCTCATCTTATCCCTTTCCGCCGGATGTAAACAATGCCCCGTGGCCATTCCCTAATATCCCAATTCAGTAACCTTGACCGCAAGGGCGCTTCTCTCCCACGCCAAGACTCTTGACTCTGCGGTTAGCACGGGGTTCGCGACACAAAGCACAAAGACCGATGCCGCCTTTCGAAAAGTCGTCAAAGCGGGATCAGACATTGGGGCGCCCCTCATTTGGGCCGAAAAGCTATTACTGCTCAAAGGGGGTCTTTCCCACCATCCCTAAACAGGGGAAGAAAGGAGATCCACATGACAGTGCTCCGAAGGTGCCGGCTTTTACTTTTTCTCCCCATTTTCTCGAAGTTGCCGCGTCGTCTGCGGTTTCCTGACACTTTGCTTTACTTCGTAATTTTTTTCTGGAATTTCGTGGACAAGGGTTGTGCTGTGATTCGGTGGGTAGCCAGTCGTAACAAAAACGGAGCCACGTGCTTGCCCTTAGTCAAGTACAGTAAAACCTCGTTATAACAAAATGGGATATAACAAACTAATGGATATAACAAAGCAATCATAATTCCCCTTGCTTGCTAATAGTATGGAGAAATGGACATTGGCTATAACAAACTAATGGTTTTAACGAAATAACTACGACCGCTCCTTCAACTTTGTTATAACGAGGTTTTACTGTACGTGGCTTGGCAGAGCTGAGCTACAACGGGAACACGGGGGAGGGGGGGTGTGCAGGCATTGTTCAGTACGCACGCACAGGGGCTCAGCATATTGCTCAGCACCCCCTGGAAAATGTCAGCGGGTGCTCAAGCCTCCATTCCCCTCCGGTTACGGGGTCCCTGCTACCTAACGGTTTGGAGCAAGATAGTTTAAAATTTTAAAAATGTAAAGCAAAGGCTCGTTGGACAAGGAAGCAAGCAAAGAAAAGCTTGTGGATGAAATGTGTTTCCAAGGTGAACAGTTCTGTCATTTCGAAAGAGGTGTTGGACCGAGCGAGGAAAACTCGGGGCAACCACCCCTCTTTTAAGACACCTCTTTTAGCCTTGCCGTCGCCAACCTTGAAGGACCAGGCAAATTTTCTTGCAGAACATTTTTGGGAAGTTTCTAGTTCATATAACAATTGCTATGTCAGGATTAGGCACTCTTGTATACAACCAGCCTTTCACATGTGCTAACTCGAGGTGGTCCTTAAGTCAAAAAAGCAGTCAGCACCTGGACCTAACAAAGTCGACTATGAAATGTTGCTGCACTTGTCTGTTTAATATCTACGCCATTTGTTAACCTTTTTTAATCATTTGAGGGAAGCTTCTGCCTTTCCTCAGTGCTAAAAACTGGCCCATGTAATTCCCCTGCTAAAACCCAGTAAAGACTCTGCTCTGCCAGCAAGTTATTGTCTCATTGCGATGACCAGTTGCTTTGGGAAAACTTGTGAGAAACTAATAAATAGACGATTAGTATTTTTCTGAGACTGAGGGAATTTTAGGTCCCAATCAGTGTGGTTTTAAAATGGGGCAATCAACATTAGATCATCTTGTTCACCTGGAAACTTGTTCATGAACAGCACTGTGTTTCCATATTTTTTGACCTAGAGAAAGCTTATGATACTGTGTAGCGATACAGGATGCTTAAGTGGGGGGACACTACCCAAAAAAGTTAATATTTAAACCACTTGTCTGATTTAAATTACATTTACGGTGCTTGTTGTTTCTGTTGATGTTGAGAACATTTGTGCCAAATTTTGTTAACCTGAGTGAAGTACAAAAAAAAATTGCAAATGTTCAAAGATGAAAGTGGACGTGTCTGCATAGAAAAACTATTGTTTTGAAATCACTTATAAATTTGTCATTTTCATGTGTTGCATTGCTTTAGGACAGTTCAGAGCGGATAGCTATGGAGTTATAATTCTATATTATACCATCTTTCATGACAAAAAGTCACTTTAAAGCCACGGCAACAGCACTAAGGGCTAAACTTCGACAAGAGAAAAATACAAGATATAACAGATACGCACACACATACACACTAGAGATAATGGATGCACACATAAAATTGTAAAGGAATTCTAGCACACATTGATGTTGTTTATGTTAACATTGTCGTAAAAACAAAGATTAAAAAGTAATGTAAGACATCAAACAAAAAATAAATAACTAAAAATAAGGAAAGCACTTTCGGTAAAAATCATAAAAGTGAAGAAGCTAGATTACACATTCATAAATTCCTGGCACATATAAAAATGGCAATCTGGCATTGTCCACATAATAAAATCTAAAAATAAACGTGATTACAAGGTATACAAGATTTGTGATAAAAGTGGATGAATATTTAAAAATGTATTTCAACATGTCTGTAGAATTATCATCTCAATGGCAATCAAAAAGAAGCGTAGATCTTTTTTAAATGTAGTTTGGTTTGCAGTAATTATGAAATTGCCGACTGCATTCAGGAGCTGGGGAACCTGAAAATTGATCATTTCTTTTCCTTAGTTAGTCCTAATAAGTGGTAGTCTGTATGTCCTTATTGTCCTTAAATTATATTAATTTCATTTCACATTTCTGCTAGGAGGTAAACCTCTTGTACCTTTCATTAAGGTTTTGGAATTTCTTAGAACATGCTATCTACACCTGTTGTAACTCCTTTTTTACCAGGATTTTTTTTTTCCCCATTGCAGATAATTGTTTTTTTGATTATAACTTCTATTCTTACCTGAAATTCATGTTCATATCTTATACATGATTTATGTTCACTCTTTTATTGCATCACCAGCTACTGTAGCTCTGTCTTCTCCTTAACCCTTTTCATGCAATAGTTTATGCAGCTGGCGCATTTTGGCCTAGTTGCTCTCGCGCCATAAAACTAATCAATCAATCTGAATGATAGGGCTTTGATAAAATTTCCGTGCAATAAAGCTACTTGTTCTGTTGTGGCACCGAGTGCGACGTAAGGCACTGCCAAGATTCAGCACGGATAGCAAAACTGGAAACAATTATGTCCCTGGTGCTGTCCCATTTGCCACTAAAATCCCTTCGGTAGATCTAAGTAATTGGCTATGTGCACGCTTTGCAAGAAGTCTGGTGCATGGGCTCGTATAATTGGTGTGCCAATTATACAAGTGAATGGGGCCAGCATTAAAGGGGCTTATGGGGAAGGTCAATTAGATTAGCGCAGTGCGACCACAAATCTGCCACAGTGTGCTCATTCGAGCTGGCTAGGCTCGCAGTCAACCTTGCAATTTTTACAAGTTGTGGTAGCTGTTCAATGGAGGTACATTTAGTCTCACACTCCCTGGTGACTATGTCATACATATTCTTGGATCTGTGGTGAAGGGCACACCAAGGTGCTCGGAGATTGTGCTCTATCCCTCCAGATTTGTTGTTTGATTCCTCTGTTTTTTCTTTCTCCCTGTCAAAGCGGCAAGTTGCTTTGAAGTTTTAGGTTTGTCTCGAACACTCATTTATTGACCGTCATTTCCCTATAAGTATAAGCGAAGCTGAAGCTACAAACTGCAACGTGTTGCCTTTAATGACCCTTTCACTGCAAGAGCGCATGTCCATGGTAAACATAGTCAAAGTGTCGCTCGCTCTTGTAGCTTCTACTTTGCTCTCATTTATGTTGAAACGAAGCATAATCTTGGGCTTGAAGCTGGTTTTTGTGTTCCAGTGTCTTTCATTTTCCTGGGCATGGTTGGCAGGCATCCCAAGTCTTTGGTGTCTCCAAAGGCTGAGGCTGCCTTTGGAGACTTTAAAAACTTCACCTCTATTATCATAAATTGCTCTAAAAGTTTATGCAATGTAATTCAGCTATGATGACCCAGAGCAGGGTGTGTGAGGCAATAAATTGGCATTTTTTTCAGTACATCAGGCGAGCTCTGTGCTCTGTCCTTGACCCGCCAGATTTACCCCAGGAAAGTTGCGTGGTAATTGAGAGAAACCTGTACAAACTTTGTGAAATCGGAAGCGCAGTTGGAATGAACAGCCTGTCGGTGCTAACAGCAGGCAGATGCTGCAAGCATCTGAAAGAGCATCATCCGAATTAGTGTCTGTAAACCTGCAAATTTTCTACTTGAAGCCCTTTTTTGTTAACTTTTTTTTCCTGTTTTCAGGTTCAGTCTGTCTTCCTGATGAAGAGGCGGACGAAAGGGTTTCTGTTGCGGGCCGGGCAACGACTGCCTCTCCACTGAGAGAGCTCGAGTAAGAAATGTCGCCTTTGGTTTTTTTAAGCGTTTTGTTTGTCAGGTGCTAAGGCCAAAGGTTCAGCTGTGTGCAAAGAAGGCTTAGGGTTGAAACAAAATGACTGTTGCCATTGGGAGATGCACACTGCCTCAAGCCTTGGAGGTCATAATGGGCTGCCATGTGTGAAATCTGTGAGCTAATATACTGATGCGCCCCATATTTTTGGGGGGGCATTGACTGAACTGATGACTCTGAACGAAGCTCTGTATTATGAGTGCAAAGGTTTCACAAAACATGAATTCAATAGTAGTCACGCATATTACAGGAAAACCATAGAACATGTTTTTCTTGCTGTCATCATTACTATAGTCCAGGGGTGGCCAAACTGTGGTTCGCAAGCCGCATGCGGCTCTTCGCAGGTCCAAGTGTGGCTCGTGGCTCCCTGGTGAGCGTGCCTCTCTCCTTCTCCTGTGTTCCCAAAACAAAATAGATCTAGAATTTTTAAAAAAAAAAAGTACACATTCTTGGCACTTTTGTACTACACTGCGTACATACAGCTGGACTTCTTTTTGACACAAATGTCTCGTGACCCGGTTTTCCTCATTGTTCCAGAAAGAATTTCGAACCGTACACACACAACTGTGCAGGGGCAGTGGCTGGCTAGCGAACCATGCATTCATTTTTGCTTAGCTGTTAAAGAAACGTTCTGCTGCCTAGTGTTATTTGTTGTAGTCGATAAGTATACTTATCTCTTTTGGGGAGGATGATTCCATTGATATTGTTTCTTGTTAAAAGTAGCCCCCTTCCCCCCCCCCCCCCCCCCCCCCCCCCCCCCTTCTTTCTTTTTCCTGCGGCTCTCTGAACCTTTGTAGTTTTGTCTTCGGCTCTAAACCCTTGTCACTCTGGCCACCCCTGTTAAAGTCGCTGCGAGACTAAGTAGGGGCACTCCACCTTGAACACATTCCCTTTGCCTTTCGTCGGGCCTTCGCTGCATGTGTGAAGTCTTATCGAGGATAAAAATTACCGCATCTCCACGTGGTGAATGATGTTGATTGGGGCGAAGCTCGGGTGGTGCTGATGATACTGATTTTGGTCATAGGTAGTGCTGATGGTGCCGTTTTCATTCATGTCAGTAGACGAATGTGGGGTTTTCTTCTTTTTCCTTTTTAAGAAGACCGATGAAATGGCATCTCAGAGCCCCCTATTTTTGTTTTCTTCTTTTTTCTTTTTTTTTCTCTTTTTTTTTTCTTGCTTTCACTGCTGAACTCACGAGCAGGAGCTCGTGAGCTCCTGCTTGTGAGCTCACGAGCAGGGGCACATCGGACGGCGGACGGACATACGGACATGGCTAGCCCGTAAGGAGCTTCACCCCTAAAAGCTGGAGCTGGAGCCGGATCATCTACTGAATTCATGACCGGTCTACATGGGCACCGCCGTAATTCATGTCCAGAAACACAAAGTCCCAGATGGAATCTAAGGGTCGTGTCTGAAAGCAAGGTTACTTTCTGACATTTGTAGGAAAATTGTGTGCCCCCGCCAGCAAGCCGACCTCAGTGGTCAGCCGACCAGCCCAGAAACAAACCCAGACGTTGGTTCGTTTAAGGGAGCGAACCTCCGCTCCTGTTTATGATGCGCCACAAACATTATATATAAATAACAAACACTACAAATAAACACTTACTATATAGGACTTTTTACAAAGTAGGCCTAAATCCCGTGGCCGCCAGAGATCCCGTTCCCCCACAAGCCCTTGCCAGTTAATTCTGTGGCAGATATCCGCTCAGAAAGAGGTCTTCCCCCCCCTCCCTTCTTGCCCATCTCTTTTATGACCAACGGGCAAGGAGATTTCTCAGAGCCTCGCCAGCCACCATCGAAGCGCCACCTTTTGGCCAGGAAGAGAAATGGGGATCGAGAGTCTACGATCCGCCCCGTGGGGAAGCAATCGCGTGCTTCTGGGGTGGGGCAGCTAACCAACCGCCCCAACGTCACTAAGCCGGGGAGACGGGTGTCCCCGCGAAATCGGAAAATGCCATACATTTCGGATACTTTTTTTTTTTTTTTTTTTATAAGTAGGATCTTTATCTTGAGCAGACTAATTTGTATTCTGGAAACTCTGTAGGCTCCAGGAGGCTGTATTCCTGTCCTTAGCTGCTTCGTTGATTTCTCCATTCTTTTTGCACCACAGATACCTTTAGGCTGCCATGATGCTAAAAAGAAGGCAGGTGTCTCTGAGGCCTCATTCACACAGCCGGCGTTTCATTCTGTCCCGGCGAAAGCGCCGTGGGCGCCGTGCCGAAAATGGGACGGTGCGGGGACGGAGGAATGTTCGAACCAGCGGCGATGGAGTTGCCGGCACTGGCTATACCAATAGATGGATGCTGGCGGCTGTGTCCCCTTATATTGGGCAGTAGCTTGCGCCACCTAGCTTAGAAATCTTTCTGCACCTTTCAAATTTCGCATCGAACGTTTGCATTCCGTAAAACTGCATAGCCAGTATAACCTATTATTTTGTGCGCAATTTCACACTTCCCTCGGTCTCTACTACCAATCCTGTAATCCTGTATTTGTGGCAGCGTCGACCACCAAATGTAGCAGACTATCGGCGTCGATGGGCGCAGCCACAACTGTCTTGTTCCTTGGAGCTTGCGTTTGGGTCGCTGATAACGATCTTCCATGTTTCAAAACATTTTATTTGTCTCCACGTTTTGAAACAGAAGCAACAAGACCAACCGCGAGCACGTTTCACATCGATCCCTCCTTACGCCGCATTTCGTCCCCAATGATCGACGACCGTATTTTCTTTCTTCGGTTGTTCTTCCTTAAAATTGCATTTACGCCTATCGCAAAGGAACCGAAGTGGTCTCACCATTTTGAGCACCAGGTCAGCGGTAAATCCAAATCTCTGTATGCCTGTTGTTCAAAAGCCGTAAACATCACACAATGCGCCCGTCGTCTTTCTTGCTGACGAGCTTTTTTCACCGAATTAGATGTTGCAGGCACCTGCAATTTCATTTTTAGTCTTGACAATGTTAAACTTAAGTGACGTCGGCTTGTAGAAAAATTTAGTTTTTGTCGATTGTCTTTTGATCGAGGTAATGCCACGTTTTCGAGGTTTTGCATCCGATCCTTACCGTTAATGTCGCATTCTCACGGAGTTTAAGCTTTCTGCGATGCATAGTTTATTCATGCGGGTCGAGAAACGCTATTCTCTTTTTCTGGGAAATATCTGTACTGCACCCTAACTTAGATCATGACATACATTAGTGATGATGGTGATGTTTGCTGGCTTTATGGTGCAGGGCTCAGTGTATAACTGCAGTTCTTGAGACACCTACAGTACGCTAGTAAGGTCCATAGGGACCTCACTAGTGTACTATCTGACAAGTGCCCTCTGTGCAGCGTCAACGAGTATACAATGATCTTCGGTTCAAGACCCAAGATAGCCCGCACTCCAGAGCGCGGCGGCAGCCCCAGTCGTCGTCCAGAGCCCCTGCCGCCTCCAAGGATCCGGATGTTTGACTGTCAATCGAGCTCCAAGCAGACAACCAGCAAGGGTGGCACTGCGGCTGCACGCAAGCAGAAGACCCGAAAACTTTGTATGGAGACTTTACTGTCCTCACTCTAGACGTTTGCAAGTATGCCCTCTGGGTTCCACCATCTTGCTGGTGTGGGTAGATCTTCTGATAGTCAAGCATTGCTGAGGCCATGGTCCAGAGTAGCTAAAACTATCCGCAATGGATCGGAATTTCTCTGAAAATTGAAAAAGGCAAAATTGGGCAAACTTTAAGCTGCAATTAAAAAAAATTATTAATATTTAAAAAGAGCAACGAGACATGTCCAAGGAAGATAAACAGACACAGCACTCAGTATGCATAATTTTGGGTTTTTCGATTTTCACACAAATTCGGGCAGTCATGGTTGGCTTCAAGAATTCTCAATTCTGTACTACGGGCTCAGCAATGCTTGACTATCAGACGATCTGCCCACGCCAGCAGCAAGATGGCGGCACTCCAGAGGCAGTACTTGCATACGTCTATACATTTGTGATGTAGAGCAGGAATTCAAGCTAACAAACAACGCTTAGTTGGGGACAGGGACGGTCGGGCGAGTTTTGGTGCTTGGGGAAACCCTTAAAATACCCTGGGAAATTCCTGGGAACCCATTTTAAGAAACTGCGGCTTAGACTTCAGTTTATTTCTGACGGCAGGCAGCAGCACGTCGTTACTCTGGGGCTGACAGTGCGCACCAGCAGATGCTGCTTCTGTGGTTTTCCGTAGAAACATTGCTCTGTTAATTAGAGTTACACTTCAAAAATTGCTCAAGCGCCACATAAGAGCACAATTGCGTGTGTAAATCTGTAACTTGGAATGCTCTTTGGCAGTGGCATGTCAAAGAGGCCAGAATAGCTCTTTATATTGTTCCTTTCGTTCCATAACTTGACCCGTAGTGTAGTCGCACGAAAAAATGCCATTTTTCTAGATGGCGGTGTGTTCTTGCATTCCATGCAGATAGGGAATAACATTGTTGCCGGTTTCATTGATTTGGTATCTGTATAGCTCATGGGCATATCCATTCTGGCAGCTCTAATTACCTAACTTGCCAACGCTAACATCATCTGAGAAGGTTTTCTTTATGCAATCCATTCTACTGGTTTGGATCGAAAAAATGAAACCCGGCTTTTCAGCCTGCATGAATAACTATGCATTGCAGGAAGCTGAAACTCTGAGAATGGGATGCTTGCAGTAGTTGCACATGATGTTACCTTGATCAAGAAATATAAAAATTCTCTATGGGCAGACATTCATCTAAGCCTTGTCTTCATCAAACCAAAATTTGAGATTGTGGGCACGCGTAGCTTTTCTTTCAGTCAAAATACTTGTCGGCAAAAAAGAAAGCAATATTGTCATTCTTACTCACGTGAACCCATGATGTGAACATGGTGTTCACATGGTGATGTCATACCGAACCTACAGTGATATCGCATGAACACTGTGACAAAATCGTCATGGCTGCAGGCAACGGATACGAAAGCTCTAGGAGCTGGCCCTATAAAGGCTGTGGCTTAAAAAGAAAAAGTTATAAGTTTAGTGATTAGGGCTAGGCATCTTTTAGTACTGTACAGAGTTGCTGCAGAGCTCGTTTACAAAATTTTACTGGGCATTTCGAGCAGTTTACTGATCTCAAGCCGACCCCTTGCGCAGCACTGCCGAAGGTTCGTCGCTCCCGGACAACACGGCCAGCTTCCCCACCTGCCGCGGGGGCTGATGGTTGCCCGGCCAATGGGAAAGGCAGCCTCCTCAAAGGTCGGCACCCAGCGACGAATGAAAACGAGGAGGCCACCCCTTCGGAGACCTCTGTGCCCAACCTTCTCAGGCCGCCTGGTGAGGGACATGTGATTGGCTACTATAATCACTGGCAGGTTAAGAGTGCAGGGCAAGTTCCTCCCATAAAGCACTTTACTCTTTCCACTTTAGCAGAGCGAATGCTGGAGAGAAGGCAAAGAGGGAATCCTACCTCTCCTGTGTTTGCTCTGTCAATTCTCTGTCAATTTGCTCTGTCAATGTCACGCGTGTAAGATGCAACTCGTTAAAAAAATTTAAAAATTTGAAAACATGCTTAAAATGAAAAAAAAAATTTAAACGAAGGGTTGTGGCACGGCCACCTCAATACTTTTATTACTCGATATGCAAGCACTCTAGGATTGTTGGACAGCAACTATAAATTAAACGTCAAATGTTCGAAGTCGGTATTCAAGTGCGTTTTCACAATTCCAGCGTCTCCACCCCTGCCTAAAGATGCTCCAGAGCCCGTTCAACCCGCGACGCCGTCCCTGGCGTGTCGCAGGAGCTCAAGGGTGCAAAAACTGCCAGGAGGGACCGGGGAGTCAGGATGGGCGGATGACGTCGACGCCGTGGATGTCGTGCCCCCGACCAGGCGGTCTCGCCTCAAAGGATCCACCGCACACAGGGCCGTAAGTGCCGTCGGCCTTCATCCAGCAGGCCTCTGCAGGTGGCCTGCGAGTGGTACACCTTCTAAATTGAATGGAAGGGGCCATTGGTGAATGCAGCTTGCTTCAGAATGTGCTGTGGCTGCATGCATGCTCGTTCGGCCTACATCAGGGGCTCCCAAACTTTTAAATCTCGGAACACCAATCTCTTTCGATTGATGACCGAGGGACCCCTCCGGGTTTCGACACTGTTGGCAATAAAGCCGTGCGGAAGACTACAGAGCTTGTGAAATACAGGGGCGGAAGCGCTGCGCCACTGTTGCCAATCCATTTTCGCTGCACCATTCTTCTCCCCGGGTGGAAATGTTGCGTCAAAAATATGCATTATCTATTCTTTTTTTTTAAAGGGGGAAGCCTTCATTGTCTCATTTTGTGAAAAAGTGACGTTGTTGTGCCTGAAAGATGGCCATAAAAATGTCATCAAGCACGCGCTGCTCAATCATATACTCAAGGATGACGTCCTTTAGGCGGCATCCTAGACGGCGTCCTTTAGGAGGCATTCTTGGTCGTTCTCAGCGCCGTCCTTTAGGCATCGTCCTCTAGGCGTCGTCGTCTAGGCGTCGTCCTCTAGGCGTCATCCTAAACGCCGTCCTAAACACCATACTTGGCGACAATCTCTAGGACGTCGTCCTAAACTTTGATATGTGTAGAAACATTTTACCCTCAGGAATACAGTAAACTCTCACTTAAGCGAACTTCAAGGAACCCTAGGAAATAGTTCACTTAACTGAAAGTTCACTAAACAGAATACTGTAAACGACTTATTTTTCACGGGCTCAATATTTCGCGATTTAGGTCAAAGCTGAAGTTTCGGAAAAATTCGCGGGTTCTAATTCTCACGACGCAGTGGGATCTCAATATAGATTTCCATGTGTTTACATTTTACCAGAATTGTTTGTGGGACCCATTTTTCACGAATTGTAGGTGCTTCGCAATATTCAATAAATTAGATCTTCGCAAAAAAATTAGGTCGTTTATAGTATGTTCACTAGAATATGGAACAGCATAGGGCACAGCATACATCAAGTTAAAGTGTGAAATGCAATTTATGGAGTCCTGTACATCGATACATACAAAGTTCATAACAGTTACGCTGCTGCCTGTCTCATTTGAAAAAGAAATCTAACTTTCATTTGCACCGGCGCTCTTGGAGCGCATGAAGTAACAAAGCTGTCCAGAGAGACTGTGTCTAATGCGAAACCACTAACTGTCCCATGGAGCGAACCGACGTCATCAGCTTTGATACAATGCCAAACGTTGGCCAAACAGCACCTGGAAGTGAAGCCGATTTCTGATGGATTATGTCCCCATTGGCTGGCGCGCATCATCGAGGAATGAGGCTCCCATTGGCTCTCGTGCGGCGTAATTCCGGAAAAAGCCACCAGAGAAGCGCTTTTCATGGTGGCGCAGCCCACGCGGCGACGCAGCCCACGCAGTGGCGCTGCCGCCGGTAAGAGGAGGGAACGGTGGCGGCAGAGCCAGAGCCCGTCTGGACAGACTCCAGAGAGACCGCATGGCCGAGCTTGCTCAGCGCAGTGCAACCACTTCACGAAAGCGCGCACTCAGCCATCCTCCGGCGAAACATGGCTGTCCACGCCACTACGCCGCAAGCAAAATAAGGGAGCGGAGGGACAACATTCATGCTTTTGCATTCACAGCTCGTAAGAAGTGCTTAGATGTCCTCAGACTTTTTTTGCACTTCCCTGGCACAGCTTGTTGCTGTGACAAAGCCATACCGCAATGGCAACGTCCACTGGGTTGAAATATCCCGTGCAGAGTTGTTTCGTGTTGAGATTGAACATAGTTTCTTCTTCGACTTTGGCTTCACTGTCGTTGACAACGTCAACTGTGGAATCCCATAGTCCTTTGCAACGTCCACTTGCCTTTGACCGTCGGACGCTGAAGGATTTTGTGCTTGTCTGATTGAGACAATCGTTTCCATTTCATCGTACTCGGTACGAAAGTGGGCTCACAAGCTGCCGTCCTGCCGTTGTTACCCAAAACTAAGATGGCCAAACGGAACTGATGACAAAGAAAAAACAGATACAGCATTTTTTTTTTTTTTTCGTCTACCGCATTGTTGCTTTGCTTCGGCGGTGCTGTAAATGGCAGCAATGATACGCCACCGCCGCAGGGGTGGGGGCGGCGGTCATCGGCTGCGCCAGCACTGCAGAGCACAAAACTTCGCTGACCTGATTGCAAAAATAATGCGGGGTCCATCGATCAAGTTCATTGAACTGAAATATTCAGCTAAATATAATACCATTGTATAATTTTAAAAAAAAAAAAAAAAAGGGTGCTAGCAGGAATAATTGTTTTGAATCACTAAAATTAGCTTTTTTGTTATTGCAGTTTCTCAAAACAAGGGTGGAGTTTGCACACTGCAACTCTAATTTCTGATTGTCCAACTGCAACCTGTACTTTTTTTCCATTGCCAATGTCGCAGAGCAGCCATGTTCACGTTTCTTTTAGTTCCCAAGCCGCTCTGCTACCCCTTGGTAAATCTGTCTCCATCCATCTCGGAGTTGCAGCACGCAGTTTGGGAATCACCGGCCTACGTGCTGAGTCGTGCTAGTACTGCCAAGTGTAGCAGTTTGAGCTGGTACAACAGTATCCATGGTGGAGAGCAGTAAAAATGCCACGCTGGAAACTCCGAGCACAGTATACTGGTAAATGGGAGGTTTGAATAGACTGCCACCTTCCCTATCATCACATTCTGACAGTAGGTTCGATGGCCTAGCATTCTGGAGGCACGCTATGCGGCATTTCACCCCTTCGGTTGGCACTCGGTCGTCTCTGCTTATATTGCTGCCAACTGTACATTCTTACATTACACGAAAGCTATAGACCAGTGTCCGCGCCAATTTCAGGGCGCTGCCATGTTTATCTACGCTTGCGCCACCACGCAGAAAGAATTGGCAGGCCGGAGGGGGAAGCGCTGCGTTGGCGGCGTTCTTTGGGCAGCTGGATGCGGCAGGCTGTCCGAATGCACCGACACATCGTGAAAGATGTCTTTACCAGAAGCCTCCATGGCCCATTCTTCAACAGATAAGATGTTGTAAACATTCGAGAACCCTTCTTGATCAAGAAAACAAGAGAAAGCCTTTCTTGTCTTAAATCTTTTCGGTGTCTGCTGACCCTTGACATCCGCGTTTCAGTCCGGGCTCATTGCGTAGTAAATATTTCGCTACCGCTTCTTTTTAGCTTTCAAATACTTGATTGTTGGCTTCTTGTATACGACATTACATTCGTGGCACGTTTGAGACCGATTTTCGTGATCTGCTTGCCTTTCTGCGGCAGCGCGGCTCTCCCGAGCCGAAATAAGTGGGAGGCGTTTAGTTGATCGAACGCCGTTTTAGCGAATGAAAACGAGACCACGACGTTTCATCGAATGACTAGCGAATGGGTCTAGTTACATAGACAGCTCGGATTAGCTTTCTTTTGTAATGTGCCGCCTTGTCTGGCGGCACATTACAAAAGAAAGCTAATTTGAACTTTGAAGGGCAGGGGAATCTTCTCTCGAGGACGTTCAAGACACTCAACACCGGAGCCACCAAAGCAATTGCACAAACCGTCGCCATGTTTGCTTCTTCGTTACTCGCGGCGCGGTCAACTCGTCGCGAGATGTTTTCTGGCTCGGCTAGACGGAAATCAACAGCAGCAAAATGGCATATGGACACACGGCTCTCACATTACGGGCACTATACTCGCATACCACGGTAAACAGGAGCGATGAAGGCGAAACAGTAGTCGGCACACCAGCGAAGAAGCCCTCAACGGGAAGCGGCGGCGCAGGCCGACGCAGCCCCCTCTCCCCGTGAGCGTCTGGGTTCGAGATTATTGTTAGCTTTTGCTCCTTGCGGTCAAGGCCAAAAAGAGCACTTCCGGACACTGGTCTATAAGCTTAAAGGTTCATTTCGTAGGCTGGAGAACACAGGTGACGCGAGTTAACTATAGATGTTTCAAATTGTACTCGTGCCCCTCGAGAATTCTGTCAAGTTTGAGAGGCACTGCTCTAAAGTTAACTGTAGAAGAAACTTGGAAAGGGCCAGCCATTGGGACATGCAACTATTGAGTACAGTGTAAACTATTAAAAATACGGTAAACGGGGAAATACCGTATTTACTCGCATAATAAGCACACTTTTTGTTCCGAAAAATTTACATAGATTTTGGGGGGGTGTTTCACTATGCTGGGTAGAATTTCTGCATTTACACACTTTGTGCGAATGTCATATTAGGTGCAAGTATGACGTGGCAGGGTACTGTGGCACGTCTCCACTGACAGAGGCACTCCCATGGCTGGTCGTGGGCACGCAACAGTAACCATGCGCTATAAATTGCAAGCGTTTTTTAGGGCGCTTTTGATGTGCCTTTTGCCGAAGAGAAAGCGCCCTACGAAGCTCACGGAGAGCGACGAGACCGTTCTTAGGCCTAACCACTTTCACAGTATCATTGCCTGAAAGTGGATCACAGACGACGGTGTGTTTGTTGACATCAATGTCCGATGATTGATGTCAACATGATGATGAATCCGATGGACGAAGCACGTCCAGGGCTAGGCAATTCCTCGACCAAGCTTTGCTAGGCATGCGCACCGCTCGGTTTTACAGTTGATCAGTTACGCAGCCACGCAATTGCAGCCATTACTAGAGCGGCTTGGCTTGACTGGACTAGGCCTGGCCACTTGGCGGCTAAAAGAAAATTAGCTTCAAGACTTGGGGAGCCAAAAATTTAAAGTGTGTTCATTAAGCGAGAAAGTAAAAATATTGATGCCAGTTGTCGGGGGTGCGTTTATTATGAGAGTGTTTATTATGCGAGTAAATACGGTAGTGCCACGTTAAATTGAGAGAAGGCGTAATAAGCAGACGTCCGCTTTTGTTGGCAATTTTTAACGCTCCATTTTTTAGTGCTCCTAGACATGCCTCTTGCACCTTGAGCCACTTCTTTTGATGATGATAATGGTTTATGTTAATGTTTCAACAACATACATTCTGCTCCACCTTTCAAAGGCACTTTGGTGCATTCGATGTCGTCTACACTGACTGGAAAGTGCAAACACACTTTAGCCAAGCACCCATCTAGCATTGCACAAGCTTTTAGTGCCGAGGTTCACTTTCTGGTTCAGCAGCGTGTCTATTTTCCCCGCAGTCTCTGCCCAGCAAGAACCGGCTGACCTTCGTCGTGCCGAACCAAGTCCCGGCGGGCTCGCGGCGTTCCTCTTCTGGACGTCCCACTGTCCCGCCTGTGGAAACGCCCCCGGCGGACTCTCCCCCGGCGGCGACCGGTCGTGGGGCATCTCGGCGATCCTCGGGTGCCGGGATCTCCCGGAAGGCGCAGCAGGAAGAGCAGCAACGCGGGAAAAGAGACCGTGAGGGACAAGTTTCTCCTGTGGCCGTCGAGACGGGGAGGGGGGAGCCAATGTTGTGTGTAGTATACAACCTCGCAGCCTGATTTTGCGTGGCTTTTAAAGCTTTAGTTCTGTGATAAAAATTGTGGGGTAGCTCCAATGTCTATTTCAAGGTCTTCAGCAAGATGTTTTTGGGAAGGCCTCAGCGAATTCTGCTACCGTAAACTGCTGGAAAAGTGCCCACCCCACTTTCACTGAAAGCTGGGTTAACCTAGACATGGGCACTCGTCCTGTCAAATCGGGAGCTTAAAGTATCTTTTTGCAACATTCCCAAGTTTGGGAAATGTTAATAGTGGGCATTTGAATGAAGTGGGTGCTTCTGCGATATTTTACGGTAATGAGTCGCAAGGAGCACAGCCGTTGAAGTAACAAAAAATTGCCAAAGGCTGCTCTTGCTTTTCAAATCCTCTTTTGGATGCTTTTACGAAGAAGACAATGTCACTGAGACATGTTGCGTGCCGTCCCTTTTATAGTCATTTTTGGTTTCAAATATGGGTGACAATATTAAGGGGGGACATGGCCTGGGAGGGTCAACTTTTGAACCATTGTCTCAAAGTGATTCAAACTTTCAGGGTGAATTGAACCCCATTAGGATGGATGACATCTAAAGTTTCAGCCTTATAGGCCAATTCTACCACATACTATGCTTAGCAAGCTCCAGAAAAAAGTTACTTTATTAGGAAATGTATTTAAGAAAAATAATATTTGAAATCCACAAAATGTTTAGTTTAATGTGAAGTAGAATACCCATAGTGCAAGTTAAGGTAGAAATTAACTGTAGAAAATGTTATTCTAGAGAAAAACAATAACACCCAAAAAGAGCGATCGATTTTAACAAATTTGTGAGTTTTAAAATATTCAGTTTTTGTCATGAAGAATTTAGCATTTTCAGATTATGAGTACCTTAACTTGTTCCTCAGGAAATTTGAGTCAAGGACAACACTGAATGAAATCTTTACACTTTCAAAATGTCCAATGATACATTTCCTCATACCACATTTCCTGCCGAAAAGTGAAACTGAGAAAAATGCATTTGAAGTTTCAACTTTAGGTTTCTTTATATTTTATGAGTCCGAGGTGGGCAAAATTCACCTGGAGCATTGTTAGCACCTTCGTCTTTGAGCATCTGTTGTTCCCCTGGCAATAGCTACCAGTTTGTGTTGTTTGTATGCATGCTAACTCTTGTAGCAGGCATTCCCTGACAGATAAGCTGACAGGAACTATGAGGCAAATCACACTGAGAAAGAGCAGCAAAGCAGGAATAGGATCTGAAGTGGAAGATACTGTAAAGGGGCGTTAATGAAGACGACAAAATATCACGTCACCGGGAGGGTTCAACTGTAAACCCTGTTTCAGGTGTAAACCAATAAAATTGCTCATACCAAATTTTCAGAATTTTTTCTTTTTGGATGTATTGAGTCCTCCTGGCCATTGATACTTGTAAACTTCGAAAGCTTCTACGGGCTAAATCTAGAGTAAATGGCACTTCCAATGAGGGTGAGATGTTCTGGCTAGGTTAAACGAGTATGAAGCAGTGCTAAATAAAAAACACAAAAAACTTGATTCCTGCTGACTTGGAGGGCTGCCGACATGTCGAAAATAATTTATTCTGAGATAAATCCTGCATGTTTATAAATGGAAGTTTCTGAAACCATTTTTTGGAAGTTAATAAGCATAAACATATCATTTTTGAAAAAAACGTTTTTTTCGAAAAATTTTGAATTCCGAGGCCATGTCCCCCCTTAAAATCGCCGAAGTGCCGGTTTCAGGGATGGAACTGCTGTGCCAATAGCGCCATTGTGCGCTTAATGACTTCATGATCCGCACTGATAAAGAGGTATACCTAAATAAGAACGAAATTGGGCCAAGGTGCGAAACGAGCCTCGTCGAAATTGGCCATCTCTCAGTTTCTGTTGCTAACATTGACGTCGGAACTTCTGTCCCGAAGGGAACGTCGATAGATCCGAATTCGAGGCTCTGTATCCGAAGGTGGCTTCCATGGTTATACTTGGTTTCAGCTTAAAACAGCTGTTACGCCGTCCCTCATTGCGATGCTTCTGCTACCAGACCTCTTCGAAGCTATTCGCTGTCACTCTGCTTTGTCTACGTCCACATGCAGATGATGCTACAAGCGCAACCTCTGGACTGTCAGCGTCCCTGCCAAGAACGCGTGCTTGTGCAGTGCAAGCACTGTTCAGGGCCACATGTTGGCGTTTCTAGCATTGGCTGCATCTGGAAATAAGCTGAAGTGAAGTACAGTTGAACCTCAATCTAACGAAATTCGTGATTTAACAATATTTTTTTTACCTCCCTATCTTGCTTCCATTGAAGACTATGCATTTTATCTCAATTTAGCGAAGTACTTTTGCACCGCAGTTTCAGTTTAGTGAAGTCTTTGGAAATTGCACATACAGATATCGACGGCCTCCGCGAGAAAAAAATATATTTAACAAAGCAAACCTTATCGTCGAAAACTAAGCATAGAAATGTGCGGTCATTATCTTTTTCACAAAGCACGTCGTCGGTGTAGTCCAACAAAATCTTGCACTTTCCAAGACAGCATCGACCACATCTTCCGCGACTGCTTGGTGATCGCACTGCACATCACGGGTACCGATTGCGCTCTTTTGCGGCGTAAGTTGCAAGCCTGACCTCCAACTCCAGAAGGCATCCCCACCTATCCAGACATTGGCCGAGGGGAGCCTCTTTGTTTTGCTGTCTCAGTTAAGATCCCGAGCAATTGCGGGCTCCACTGCAGCACAACCTGCTCCTATCTGTCGAACTTGCATCCAGCAGCGCAGTTGTTGGTTGCTTCTGGATGAAGAATGGTCATAAACCAACACCAAAAACCTAAACTGCCTGGATGATGCATGTCAATGCAAAAAAAAAACATAGTTGGCGCTCCGGCATGATCTCAGCGCTCGATCAAACGACTTGCGACTGCGGTTCCAGCGACCTCTGGAGTGGCTCTTACAAGAAGTGCCGCCACCCCCGAGAGTTGGGCGCACCAGGCACTGTTCACCGCCGTACATTCAAACTAATTTGCGAATCTCTATCGATAATGCTCGTTCGCTCATATAAAACAAAAAAAACTTGTAAAATGAGCGCACAGAACAGTGCAATGCTACATGTACAGCGGCTGAACTCGGAACAGGCCGTTATGTTCTTGATATTGCAATTGTTTTGTTTTTGTTGGCAATGGAATGCTTTGGTTCAATTGTAAGTCGTCTAAATACGGCATGAAATTTCGCAAAGTTTGCTTTCGACAATTTTTGAAGTTGAAAGACAGCATTATGGCGACCGTAAACGCTAGTGGTTGCTTTCCCGACCGCTCGCTCTCCTGCGGTGCTAGGGACTGCTCCCACGAACCATGCAAAATGAGGGTCGATGAACAGCATTCTTTTATTTTTGCCACATCCTGTCGTGGAATCTTATTTGTAAATGCTCACTGGCAAGATGCGAGGCAATTGGAGGGATTTGGGAGCCTGAAAGACCAATTACAATGCTAAAAAACAAAAACCTTGGTCCAACGTTAAATCGAGGTTCAACTGTATAGCTGCTGTTGCTGTGTGCTTTTCTGGAGTCCTGGAGTCGCTTCATCTGAATAGTGGAGCAAACAGCACCGCTGTATTGCGATAAACTCAAATGTATTTATTTAAGTTGGCATGCTTCTCTCTTGGCTATACTTGTGCGACAATAGGCGTTTCTACTGTTTACGAAAATCGCAGTCCACACGTGCAAACTCAGTCCAGCCAGCGCTCGCTCGCAATTGTAGACGGCAAGGACGTTCCACGGAAGAAGCGAGAAGCAAGGAGGCGAGAAACTAATCGCAACGCAGAGAGGCGCAATGCAGCGTGGTGCAACACACACACTCATGCACGCACGCGCTCAACTCCAAAAGCCCCAATGAGCCACCCAAGCCGAATCCCGATTCCCAACCTTAACTCCGAAATCCCCAACGAGCCGTCGAGGCCTTTTGCCCTTTCGATATAGCTTCCTCGCTCGAGTCACTGAAAACCAACCTACTTTCTCACACCGTGCGCAAAATTAAGGCTGGACAGCTGGATAGTTTCTAGTTTCGTTTCTTGCAGCTTGCTTGCTTGCTCTCACGTCTGATGTTTAGACCATGTCAAGCATGTAGTTCAAAAATGTCTGTCCGTTGCGTACCTGTCCCTGCCTCTCAAGCCCAAGATGGTAAAGAAACGACGAGCCCTCTCTCGAAACTGAACAGCATCGTCAAAGATGTCGGAAGTGGCATGAAAAAAAGCTACCATGGCGGCCAAGTACAATGTCGCTGACACAACGGTTTCTACTGTCTGGAAGAACCGGGAGCAGGTATGGAAGCAGCTACAGCAAGAGTTGTGTCGCTCTCAAGAAAGAGGATTTGTGCGCCAGAGTATGAAGATGTCGATGAAGCCTTTTTTAGGTGGTTTCGCAAAGTGCGAGCCAAGAACGTCCCAGTGAGTGGCCCAATGTTACAGGCAGGTCCTTTGAATATTTCTTCGAACCTGAAGGCTTCAACCCCTTCAACGGATGGATCCAGCAGTTGTTGCCACGGGATTAGCTGCAAAGTTATCTTGGGCATAAGTGGGGATGTCGACGATTCCAGCATTTGGGCATGGTTTCACAATCATCTCGAGACAATGCTTTCTGCGTACACTGACAAAAACCTCTATGATGCCGATTAAGCTGGTCTGTGCTACAACATGCTTCCCGATTGCACTTTTGCAATGAGAGGTGAACCCTGTTCCGGCCGCAAAGTCTGAAAGGAATGTGTCACGGTTTTGTTTTGTGCAAACATGGATGGCTCCAACAAGCGGTGCTTGTTTATCATTGGGAAATCGAAACGACCCTGTTGCTTCAAGAAGTGAGAATGTCTGTGTGTGGTGTACACGGCAAATGGAAAGGCTTGGATGACCCAAGAGTTCTTTGCTAGTTGGCTGAAGTTTGGATGAGGCCATGGTCACGGAAAAACGGCGCGACGTTCTTATCCTGGGCAACAGCAGCGCTCACAATATGCAGCTGCAATTAAAGGAACAATGAAGGCAATTTCAGCCATCTTTTTGGCGATTGAACTGGGTTCCAGGCACGTCTCGGGCTACGTTGCCTAAATTTCAGCCGAAACCGGCACTTGTGTGCCGCGCAAATCAGTGAGACAATCTCAGTAATAATCATACCGGGATCAACTGGGGCGACGCCCCGAGAGTTGCGGGAGAAGCCAGGAGGAGCGGAGCTCACGTGACCGATGTGGGGCCAAGAAACGCGACGTCACAAGAGACTCGTCAGCGATTGGTCGAAACAAGACGTGCCCTCGATCACGTTTTGGTTCACGATTTTTAAAAATACTGTTCTAATTTCCACTTGAATAACCGTGAAAAGTACAAATCGGACCGGAAATGATTACTAAACCGTAAATAAAGCAGCACAGTTGTTTTTTTCTTTGCTACGCTGGACGCGAAATGGCCAACGAGCAACTATGGGCATTTCGGCATGCGGGCAGTTCGTTACCGGCTGGGCGGTCTCCGTCGGGTGGATGGCGGAGGCCACCACACACATACTCCCGTTTCGTTTGTGTTGGGTCACTGAATGGAAGCTCCAACTTGCTCGCGAGAGCGGCATTGCCGTCCATGTTGACAGATTCAACAAAACAACCGTGTCACCGCGCTGCTATAACCCACCGCGGTAACCAGTGTTTCAATCTCCTAAATACTACCGATACCGACTATTCACACTTGACGTCACTCCCTACGTCACCTCAGTTTTCGGAGGCCCAGAAACGAGAATGGAGATTGTTCAGTTTCGGTTTCTTTACTTCTTTCGTAGGCACAAAAATACGCGTCGCAAATGTCTTAAAAAAATTGGGCAGCATGCTATGTTCCCAAGAAGCATAAAAACACCATTTAAAAAAATTAAATAAAATCGTCTTCATTGTCCCTTTACTGGCTAGAGGTCAAACTTTTGAATGGTGGTTTAAAAGTGCAAAGGACTAAGAAGAGAAGAAGGGGACAGGACAGAGCGCTTTTAAACCACCGTCTAGATGTTCAACCAACTAGCCCCCCAACTAATTCTGAGTCAAACTTTTGAACTAAAGTGATCAAAATGAAATTTTCAGGGGAGATTTAGCTTCAGATGTAGGTGTACTGTGCAAACTTTCAGCTCCCTAGGACAAATTTACAAACCTGCATAAGATGATGTGTCACATTTCATTAAGAAATCTATGATATGCAAATGAAGCTAATAAGCATCACTTTGACTGTTTGAATATAAAGTGGGAGATATGGGACCTCGTGCTATCTAGTTTTAATAACTTCAATGCAAATATTTCAGGAAGAGTTATTACCTCAAAATATGAGATGCATATCTGTCCTATGTCAATTTTTGAAAACTTTGTTTTTTTATCACTGAGGACTTCAACTTTAAACAAAATAAAGTAGATAGCCCGATTCCTCAGTAAATTTCAGTTCAGAAACATCTTGATTGTGGTATCCAAATACTTTTACCTTCGAACAAAAGATTCCTTCGTATGAATTTTGCAGCAAAAAATGGAACTGAGAAAAATGCATTCGAACATTGAACTCCTTTACTTTGTTACTGCCTCATAATATGTTGAAAATATTTTATATCAATGGTACAATTTGGCGTATGGTTATCAAATTTGGTGTAAGGGTGTTTAATAGGTTTATAAAACTGAAAACCTTAAAATTTAAAAATAAGCGCAGTCCGTTTGAAGTTCTTGCCGGCAAACGCCTCTGCTAAAAGCCAGCCTCTCGATCAGGGCGTCACCGCTACAGTTGAGGCACCCTACAAAAAGCGCATATACGAAAGAGTCGTTCTGAAATTGCGACGAGAGGAACCCATCAAGGTGGACTTGAGGGGCGCCATCAACGTGATCACTGCGTCGCGGTTTCAAGCAAAAGCCACAACCATCCGGAAGTGTTTTCGCAACTCGGGGTTTGTGTGCGATGCAGAGAATTCGGAGGACGCCGATCGGCGCATTGATGTGATTGACGAGGCGATCGGCGTGGAGGACGTGTGAAACCTTGTGGAAAACCACTTTGTTTCTACAAACTACAAGTTTCAAAACTATGTAGATCAAGATGACAATGATGTATCTCTTGCGCAGCTGCGCTTGTTATGTACAAAATTGTTTTTTTAGCTTTTATTTAAACATTTTGTGCTTACCCACAGAGACATGGCCCACCCCACTTTTTTTAGGAATCTCTGGTGGTAGGGGGGGTGGGCGACGACTTGGGATATTACGGTAGTCTAGTGAAATGAGTTTTCCTCAGACTGAGCTTTATTTTTCATCTGGCATGAAAGAAATTGTTTTACGAAGGTCTCATGGCGTGTACTTTGACTTCAAAAATTGATGTTTTGGGTATAGCGCGTTACCACTTAGTGCGGATTTTCGAGACTCCCGTGACATCAGTTCTATGCAGTCTACACTGTATTGTTATTTTTTACAACAACCGAGCTGTACTTTGCCGTTTCTTTTTCCCGACTCCATGGATGCTAAGTAATTCTCTATAATTCAAAGCAGCTGTCCTTCCCTTTCTTCCTCACATTTGTGATTTATTTACAGCGAATAAAATTGGTTTATAAACATTCTAAAATTGGCTTTAAGATGTATACAGTGGGCCCTCAAGCAACCTCCACTTAACATTAAAGAAACATCTTTAAGTCGCACTAGCAGCCCATAAAAATGACCTAATTGAGATGGGAAAGAATAGTTAATATATTACAAATATTTTTCTAAAGTAGATGATGGACAAGAATAGTAGATATATTACAAACGTTTCTCTAATATAGATAAAATGGCCTAATAGTGTGTGGTGTTGCTATCTTCAATTTTATATTTGTCTGTTTGGTGGCCATGAAACGCGACATTTTTTAAGTGTACTTAAAGTTAAACAAATCGTGAATGAGGGCCATGGTATCCAACTTGAAACTCGTGTTACTCTTGCGAGAGGCATAAATGGTGGAAGCTCGAGAAATGATGCATGTCTCGAGTGAATATCTAAGCGTTTGCACGGTCCGTCCCAGTGGAGGACCCGGAGCTGCTTCAGCCTGCGACACCATCTCCGGTGCGCTCCAGCAGTCAAGGGGCAAGACTGGAAGGTGCTGGGGAGGTGGAGTGGGTGGATGAGGCTCCAGAAGATGGGCCTCCGACCAGGTCTCTCGAGGGTTCCGCTGCGGGCAAGGCGGTAAGTCTTTCCCAGCAGGTTTTAACACGGGATGCATTTTATGCGACATTTCTTACACCCTTTGGATGCGCGTTCCGGCCGCCATTGTTTTAGCCAAGGGCCCACCCACACTTTTGCCGAGTTTTTGGCACTGATCTTCACATTTAAGTTGGGCGGCATGCTTTTGCTGTTGCAGCCCAAAAGCTGCCGGTCCACATTCTTCCTGCCAAAGCCGGCCGGCTTGGGGTCTTTGGAAGGACCAAAGGCGACGCCGGTGGAAGCGCCCGATAGGGACCTTATGTCGGTGTTGACCGTTCAAGGGACGCCCGGGCATTCCTCGGGGCACTTCCGGAAGTCCCGGGAGAGACTGCAGAAGCGCAAATCGGCCAAGTCTAGCATTGGCATCAGAGAAGCTGCATTTTTGGCCGAAGAGGCGGAGACTACAGGGAGCCAGTACTGTGAGTGGCAGACTTTGTGGACTGTTTTTACGTGGCTCCCAACGTTCTAGTTGCAATGTGATGCGTTGGGGGCAGTTCTGCCGTCCGTTTGAACGCTTTAAACAAAATGTGGCGTGTTCCGGAAGACTTGGACGAATTGGGTTCGTAACGGCGTTGTGGAGGGGGGGGGGGGGGAAGGGAAGGGGGGGCGGTGTGCAGCTGGCGCAGGTGAATCGAATGAGCCTACTGTTATTTTCTTTGTCTAAACTCGATAGATAAGAAATGTAATTAACTGTAGCTTGGGGCGAGTAACATCACTTGGTTTTAACATTAGTGATTTATTTAGAATGAACTAGCTCAAAAGCATTCTAACATTTAAGCTTTAGGGTGTAGTATGCGGTAGATTCTGGAGAACTATACCATATGTATAGTCGAATCAAAACTTGTCTTGATCAGTATGACCCTAATTAGAATACAATATTTGCCTATTTATTCTACTTGAAAGGAGACCTTCTGAATCTAGGCCCAGATACAGCTTTGGGCTGGTTTTAGTGGGATGGACAAATAAAGAAAGTTGAAGACCCCCATCATCCTTCCAGCATGAATTGACATTTTAGGCTGGGTGAAATTAAAGCAAAACCACTATCCTGAAATACAACATGACTCTATCTTGAATGCTCGTGGTGTGACATCGAGACCGATTTATGAACACCACATGTATTCAGATAGCTGTGGCAGCATGCAGACTGTGTCTTCTCCTTTTACCTGCGTTGGTGGAGTACAGTCGCAGTAGCTGCAATTCTGCTTGTTCAGAGGTGCAAAGCCGGTCTGTGATTTGCCCTTATGTTACAGTTTCTGGCACGGCCTCCGCATCCGAGGCGGAATGCTAGGAACCAGTTTTGTTTATGAACATATCCGAAAAGAACCACATTTGTTGGTTCTACCTTATCTTTAATCAGTGCACATCTACTCCCAGCACTGGCGGGGCCAAATGATTTGTTCTCCATTGCGTTCCGGCTTGAGGTTGTAGGTGTGGATAGACTAGCTAGCTTTGCTCGTGAGCTGATGTTGATGTCTTAGAAGCCCAAACTCATTTTGGAAAAATACCATGTCCCTGCACTTCCTTTCTTCGTTTTTTATGAGAGCGGGGATGTTTACACTCTCTTCCCCTTCCTTTCCATTGTGCACATCATGTGCGGTAGCTAGAAACAAAGAGAACTGTCACGTTAGTGCTACGGATACAACGCTGCTTGGATGGCAGTCCTTGTTGACAGTTCCAGAAAACTCTGCCTTTGTTTTTTGCCACCAGTTTCTGTGAATTTTTTTATCAAAGAGCGGCTGCAGGTGCGCTCACATTCTCCTTCTAAGATTCGAAATTGCAACAATGCTGGCCATCTACTACTTGCAGCTTCTGACTCTAAAACAATTCCCATCCAGTGGACCCTTGCCAGCCGTTCACTTCATGCCTTGGCTGCTTTTTTCCCAAAACATCTAAATTGTTTATTTATAGTCGGTGATGGGTTGAGAATTCAGTAGATGCTCCGCCCCCAGCGTGAGCTCCGTGCCTTCAACCCGGCCTTGGCTCTACATGCACCGAAGTGCTATCGAAGGCAGAAAGCTAGCGCTGGAGGCATGTACTGAATTTTTAAGCTTTCACCAACCACATGTAGAGGCACTGGGTCGTGTCATTAACTACAGTCACCGACTGACTTTTATTCTTCAGGGACCGAAAAAACGTCCAAATAATTAGAGCAGTCTGAAAAATCAGCAAATTAAACTTTCCTTTATTATGTCTAAGCAGACTTGCGGAAGCTGTCAATAGTGCCTTGCTTTATGTTACGCCCGCACTTTGCTTCAGGTTACGTCTCTGCTTGCGTTCGGCCACTTTCTAGTAGCTTGAAAATCGTTGCCTTCTTTTCTAGCATTGTGGTCGAGTACTTTCCACGCTTAGCGACACTTTGCAGTGGGGGAAAAAGAGACGGGGGGCCATGACGTCAAACCAAGCCAATCCATGTGCAGCCAACATGGAATCTAAAATGGCAGCTTCTTAGCGGCATTTCCCGCTGATAACTCGCGACGATTTTGCTGCTGTTGTCTTTCAAGCTTTCGGACTTCAGGCTGTTTGAATCATCAGACATAAATACAGTGAACTGCACTTATAACAATACCTCATAACGATATACCGCTTATAACGATCAGTTTATAGAGTTTATAGACTAGTTTGATCATTTTCTAGTTTAGATACAACGATAATCAGTTATAACGATTGCATTCAAGTTTTCTCATAATCGTTATAAGTGGTGTGCACTGTATGCACTATTTCTATCGGGTGGTCACGGTTCCTCTTTTAGATACGAAATATTGAACAGATCAGTATTGCCGGCGCCCGGAAAATCGGTTGGCGACTGTAGACGATCACTGACATGATGGAGTTTTATCATGATTCATAGTTTTCGAACCAGGTAACTCAACTTGAAGGTGCTTGTCCTTGCTTATGGGAGTTGGCTCTGCATCATTATCCGAGACGCTTAGCACCTCTTTGGCTATGTCGGAAGCCCGCAAAGTCAAACTTTGCATTCAGATGAGCCCTCCATTTACATAGCTGCTTTTTCTTTTGTGCATGCAGGTACCAGTGTACCTCCCAGTGCCACAGCTGGTGAGTGGTGGTGGGTTTGGGATAATCTCCGGGCAAGCGTTGTTTCTGCTTGTCGGGTGCATGTTTCTCTGTAGACAGGGTATGGTACTCTCTCGAACGACTTTCTGCGTGCTACGTTTTGACAGAGGCAAACGTTTGTGGAAGGTGGCTCTCGTTGGCGAGTGGAAAGGGTGGCAGGTCATTCCAAAGACTTGCCCGTGGCTCAAGCTTACTGCTTTCTGTAGTGTTGTGGCAGTTCTTAAATGTTTGAAGCTTCAGTGACTGGAAACTAAATACTTGTTCTTGTAGAGTTTTAGAGCTTTGACTATTAGTTTTTGATGCAGTAATATTTATATTTTTGGATAGTAGTTTCAAGTATAATACACTATTAGATATCCGCTTCGAGATGAAGTGTGATATTAATATTTTTCCAAGTGTTAATTAGCCCCGTTAAGTGCACCTCTTACCGAGAACCGGTGCACTGTGTAGAAGCAACACCTGCAGAAGCATGCTTTGCGGGTGTTGCTTCTCTGCAGTGCACGAGTGCTCAGTAAGAAGTGCACTGTGCGGGGCTATCTTGCTGCAATCAATATTTAGAAAAGTACAAATGTCGGAGTCACATGCGAAGCGAAAAAGCCCATTTTCAAAGCGGGATGGTGGATGTGCATGCCTGGTGTATTTAAAGACATGGAAATTTTGTAAGTGTTGATTTCTACATTGCAGTAAAATTTTCAGAATTAAGCTGCGGCTGCTATGCAAGAGTACATGTTAGGCAGAGATGCCCCGACAACCTGCGTTCAAAATTCAAAATTGTTTTTTTCTAAAAAGATTATGCATATAGCAGCCACCTCGGTGGCTCCGAGGCGAGAGCGCTGGCCTACGGATCCCCATGTGGCGGGCTCGAATCCCGGCTGAGGTGCCCGCAATCTGACGGACGCTCATTGCGGAGGAGGCGCCGTGTAACCGAGCTTTTGGTTGCACGTCAAAAGATCCCCAGGTGGTCCAAATTAATCCTCAGTCCTCCGCTGGGGCGTGCCAGATGCCCGTCGTTCGTTTGGCACGTAAAATCCCCCAAATTTGAATGATGCATATAGCAAGTTTTATCAATTTTCTTACTGAGTTATAGCTGGGCATTTCTGTAGGTTCAACTTTATGTCCAATCCGAAACTCACTTGCCATCCCGATGTAGGCATCATACTTTCTGAGGCCAGTCTAGTAATATAGTAAGATTAAAATTAACTTGGCTCGTAAAAAAGCAAAGGGAAGCTTGGGAGTTCACGAGGTTAGCTGGGTTTTCGTTTAAAGGGACACTGACATGGTATATATGCTCGCCAAGGTTTTTATTTGTACATGGCATATGAGTGCCCAACTACCCAGAACTCAATTTGCGACTCGAAATTCGTTTTCTTTTCGCCCGAAAATTGCCGATCGAGAGCTGGCGAGCGGTTTGAGTAGTGCTCGCTCTTTTCTCTGTGGTCACGTGCAGTTTCCTATGGTCTAGACACAACCACCAAAGATAGTCGGTCATGGGTCATCGAAGGCACACACTCAATATTAAAAATTGGGGTTGTGCAAACAGTGGAATTTGAGTTTGAATCGAATTCGAAGTAAATGCTGATTTTGGCTTAATATGTTCTAATTAAATACTTGCCGTTCAAAAATCTTGGCTGTTTTTAGAGGGAAGTTTAGAGAAATACTTCCAGAGTGTATTTTTCATATTATCGTTAGAGTCCATCTTGCCAATCAACCTAGCTTCCGAAATTTTGACAATGTCGATGTCATTCACTCACCTTGTTGCTGTAATAATGTAATATTCTTTCGAAATATTATAGTCTAAATGTTTTGAAACGGTGCTTGTGAGTTTTTTGCAAATAAGTTTCTGAGCAATTATGCAGGTTATAAGAAATTTCTGAAGGTATTTATTTTTATCCTAAACTTGTTTTTCGAACTTTATATCTGGACACGGCGGTGATGACAAAAAAGTGCTGGCAACCAGGGCACCAAGATTGGCAAAGATGGCGCCGGCGTCTCTGGAGCTCGTTGCTCGTTTCCTTTTGCCCGTTATAAAAAAAAATTGATCAAACTTATGATGAATATATTTGAAAGTTCCCACCATAATATTTATACCGTTTTGGCAAATGTGCTAGTATATTCTTGATTTTAGAAATTGTTCCTTACTGATTTTTAGACAGTAAACAAACTTGTGACCGTGAATTTGCCAACACTTCAAAAATCATGAATATTACAACAGCTCTCAAAGCGAATATCGAATAGGATAACATTCGAAATTACTGTTCGCAAATTTGAGTATTCGCACAACACTAAAAAATAGAAAAGAAAAATAATACCTATTTTTGTGCCTTCTAAAAGCCACAAATGCGTTGATGGAAGCAAAAAAGTTCCGCAGTCATGTGACTTCCGTCAACTTTCTCCTCCTCTATTTCTCCTTCTTCCCCAATCCACTTTCGGTTTCGAGCAGTTACGTTTTTTGTTTACTTTATTAAAAATATCTGTGCCGCTGTAGCAAAATATTGACTGGGTAGTCTTCTCACAGCATAATGAATTGCCTAGCAAAAAATAAAACAAATTTTAGGGGGTGGTAGAACAGTAGCAAAATGCTTAGAAAAACAATTTGATACTCTATTACAAAATATTTGGATAAAACCACCATACGCCTCAAACTCAATCCACCATTTTTATATGCTTCCAACAAAAAAATCCCGGTTTAAAGCAACCACACTGCAGAAGTGTCTGCATCATGCAATTTTCAGAGGACCGGGGTAACAAAATGCAGTTTTTTTCGGGCGGACTTTTATAGCTGTAGAGAACTGCCGTATTTATTTGAAAATAGGTTGACATCTTTATGAACAATGTCTGTGCGTGTATTTCACTGCAACGCTCTGGAACAGTCGATCATCGCGATTCACGGAGGAGGCCCAACGAATTACGAATGCAGAAATGAGTTGTGGTGTGGATCATTTTTTTGTATTCCAAACGTCATCTCTGTTTTTTCATTTGTCGGGTCGTTTCAAAAGTCTTTATGATTGGTGTCCGTGGGTCCTGTGGAAAAGTAGACACGCGGGTCTGCTCATAAAAAGCTTGACTTATTTTCAAATCAATACAGTGCCAAATATATATAAATATACCATGGTATCCTGAGAGGTGGCCCACCTAAAATCAAGAGCAGGTCAAGTGAAAACGAGGAGTGGACTAACTTCTAGTACTGATAGCGTGAAATCGAGAAAAGTTTAAAAAAAATGCTATTTCTAGGTCATGTGTCCCTGGCAAATTACGCCGATGTCATCGTCGATCCGAACACCAAGATTACTAAAAGTGGGCCGTCTTTTGGCGGTTAAAAAAAATGATAGCAAATCAAACAAAAAATGGAGGGTGGGTCATCTCTCTGAATATTACGGTATGTTAACATGTTTTTTGTTACATTTCCTCAAAAATTAACGCTGCCTTAGAATCAAAATGGAAGAATGTCGACCTATATGAGAGCAGAATTTCATAGTCCATTGAGCTAACCCACGTGCTTCCTGCGTTGGCATACCGTGCGAAGCGGCAAAGCTCGACACGGACGCGAACACAAAGCGGTTAAGCTTGACGTTTGGGCACCAGTGCAAGGCTTGACAGGAGCAATGCAGCGCAAGTGCCACGGGGTGGATTCGCATAATGGACACAATTAATTGGGCGATCTTATCATAACGAGGATGCTCTGGTTCTGTTTTATCACGGCACCTTCCATTCAGCCGTTTTGCAAAGTGTCACCGACTTTTAAGCTCGCCGATCGTGGCCGCAACGCCGTAGGCTTTTATTAAAAGTGTGTGCCATCTTATAGCTGCCGTACCGATTACTAGTCCGCCATCATTGGGGCTCGTACTCCGAGCACGTATTGCACACAAGTGGTACGTCCACGTTTGGTAAAGACTCCGACGGAATCGCGGGCTTCTTGTCCAAGATACAACAACCGCCAACGTTGCCTAAAACCTTTTTTTTTTTTTTTTTTTTGAAAGAGGATTAATTTTTGTTCAGCAAAGCAGCCCAGGCCTTTCGCGTTTTTGTTGGTAGGTACCAGACTTGTACACGTTACTGAAAAAAAGTAACTGATTACAATTACAATTACTACAGTCAAATAAGTAACCGATTACCGTTACTGATTACTGCCTCCCAGAAGTAATTGAACAATTACTGCAAAGTAATTGATTACTTTTCAAGTTACTTTCACGTTACTTCTTATTGCGATGACAGAAATACACAAATACACAGTAAAATATTGCGTACACAATTTTGTTTGGTTATTTTTCCCTTTTTTGTTTTCAGACCCGGACCTTGTCGTGTAGCTGACGCGTCGACCTAAGGAACAAAGCCCACTAAAAAGTCAATAGCGAGTTCCCGCTTCCCGTCGACTTTATCAGCAATCTGCAACGAGATCCGGAACTCCCCAGCCAAGGCTGGTGGTGCGCTTGTAGAAGAGCGTGGCGCAAAAGAAAAAAGGATTTGCCGACTAATCCTAGTTTTATTTTTTTTAGATGTTAAAAAAATGTCAATCATTTTTGCTCCATGGCTAAGTGACTATGTTGATTTTTGTGAGAAAAAAAATTGTGGAATGAAAAATGTAATTGGTGATTGTGTAATTTATTTTGTAATTGATTACAGAAAAAAAGTAATTGAATTACTCCGAGCGTTACAGCTTGACAAATGTAATTGAAGCGTTACAAAATTACACTTAACTGTAATTGATTACAAGTAATCAATTACTTGTAACGCGTTACGTACAAGTCTGGTAGGTACCCAAACGCGCGCATTATTGCCGCCGTCGTTTATGGAGCCATGCGAGAGGCACCTCCGTATCATTCATTTTTGTGATTCTCGCTTTTGATCGTTAGGTGATTCCGATCGCCCTCCTGCTTTCCCAGTAACAGGAATAAACTCAATCTTCTGCTTTGCAGCCACTGATGAAGACGACGGCGCTGCCAGAAGTGGCCACACCCGACGAAGGCGCAAAGTGACCTCTTACAAGGAGCCACGTGTGAACCGGTCAGTCCTTTCTATTCCCACTGAAAAGGCGTGGATGGCAGAGGTCGGCATTTTAGGTCGCCCTCCCTCACCCTCACAGCCACACTCACCCTCACAGCTACACTCACCCTCAGCCCCTCACTCACCCTCACAGTCACACTCACCTTCAGCCCTTCACTCACCCTCACCGCCCTCTCGCCCCTCACCGCCCTCTCGCCCCTCACCGCCCTCTCGCCCCTCACCGCCCTCTCGCCCCTCACTCACTCACGGCCCTCACTCACTCACGGCCCTCACTCACTCACGGCCCTCACTCACTCACGGCCCTCACTCACTCACGGCCCTCACTCACTCACGGCCCTCACTCACTCACGGCCCTCACTCACTCACGGCCCTCACTCACTCACGGCCCTCACTCACTCACGGCCCTCACTCACTCACGGCCCTCACTCACTCACGGCCCTCACGCCACTCACCGCCCTCACGCCACTCACCGCCCTCACGCCACTCACCGCCCTCACGCCACTCACCGCCCTCACGCCACTCACCGCCCTCACGCCACTCACCGCCCTCACGCCACTCACCGCCCTCACGCCACTCACCGCCCTCACGCCACTCACCGCCCTCACGGCCCTCACCTCCCTCACGGCCCTCACCTTCCTCACGGCCCTCACCTCCCTCACGGCCCTCACGGCCCTCACCTCCCTCACGGCCCTCACGGCTCTCACGGCTCTCACGGCCCTCACGGCCCTCACGGCCCTCACGGCCCTCACCGCCCTCACCGCCCTCACGCCACTCACCGCCCTCACGCCACTCACCGCCCTCACGCCACTCACCGCCCTCACGCCACTCACCGCCCTCACGCCACTCACCGCCCTCACGCCACTCACCGCCCTCACGCCACTCACGCCACTCACCGCCACTCACCGCCCTCACGCCACTCACCGCCCTCACGCCCCTCACCGCCCTCACGCACTGATGGCCCTCACGCCACTCAGGCCATCTTCAGATGGGGCAATTTCGCCCAGAAACTTTACGCCGCAACACGGGCCGCCCGCGATCACACGCAGCAACCAATTGCTGCAATTTGCCATTGTCATCATATAATTTTATTTTTCTTGCACTATTTAGACACAATTACGCGTTATAAACGTGTTTTTATGCATTTAAATCTCGTTAAGAATACTAATGCACGTTTCTGAAACAGTTTATTTCCAAAAAACGATCGATTTCAAACCAGAACCAAGTCTTTCAGTGTCATCATCACCGGCACAAGGTATCACGTGAAAATTTTGCGTCCCTGATTGGATGCAGCCGCTTCAAACATATTCGAATAGCTCAGAGTTGCTTGCTTATTTCGAGCCGGACCCGATCTCAGCAATTCGTGTCGATCTAGGGAAAGCTAGAGAACAACCCGCCATTAACACCAAAATTGCTGAGAAAGATGCTCGATCTGAAGGGGGCCTCACGCACTCACCGCCCTCACGCACTCATGGCCCTCACACACCTGATGCACTCACCGCCCTCACGGCACTCACACCTCTCATGCCACTCACTGCCCTCACGCCACTCACCGCCCTCACGCCCCTCACGCACTCATGGCCCTCATACCCCTCACCGCCCTCACGGCCCTCGCTCACCCTCACACTCATGAATTTTCCTGGTTCAGAAACTCCCTCACCTCACTTGTGAACATGAGGGTGAGTGAGGGTGAGTGAGGGCCCTCATGAGTGAGGTTTGCCGAGGTATGGTGGATGGACACGTATGAGGCGAGGAACTATGCGAAATGAATGCAGACTAACAAATGACTGGTTTTATTTTTCAGGCAACCAAGAAACCGGCCTGCGTAAGTCAGGCTTCCTCGACGTTATTAGACTGCAAGGTTGAATTCTTAGAGCGGGGAGCGATGCATTGCCTGCCAATAACTGAAAGCACAGAGTTGTTTGTTGTGCAGATGAAAGCCCATTTTGAGTAGAGGGTCGTGTATCTTTTTTCTTGGCTTCTCGAAAAACAAAAACCAGTTGATTGCCGATCAGCACTCGTTCTGTTCGGTTGCTCGCTTCGTCCGTGTCCAGTCAGGCCGTTTCGATATTAATATGCATCAACTCTCCCATTTTTATCCCTTCTGAAGCCTCTTTATTTCATTCGGCATGTCGGCACAAGCTGTAAGAACGTTCTGCAGTGTATACCCCTGTAAAATGGTTACCCTGTATTTGGTTTTGTTTAAAGGACACGTGCAAAGGAAAAAAACAATTTTTTTTAATCAGCCTAAATGGAAAAACAATGTCATAAAACAAATTTACAAGAAGGAAAAGAAATCTTTTAGAGCTATATTTAGGGCGCAAGACGAATTTGTAGTTGGCGCCCGAGGGAGCCGCTGCTGGTCACGTGGTAGACCTGTGCGCTGGCGCCGCAAAGTCACGCCGCCGCCGTCAATTTCTGACCTGTGCACAGGTCCATCACGTGGTGCTTGCGCTCTTTCAGGAGTCTCCCTTGGGCTCTAAAAGTTATCTAGTTGTTAATTTTCGTTTTTTGTTGCACTTCAAACGAAGATGAATAAGTAACTTTTAGAGACCTTAGAAGAAGCTTCCGAAAGAGCACAAGCACCATGTGATAAATAGCAGCCAGTCACATGATAAATAGCGGCCACTTTTCCGCAGGCACCAAACACAAATTGGTTTTGCGCTTTAAATATAACTCTAAAAATTTTCTTGTTCGTTCAAATTCGTTTTTTGACTTCCTTTAAAGCTTTTTCTTTTGCATGTGTCCTTTGAGAGAGGGCACTACCCAGGAGGGTGAGCTTTTGAGCCCTTAGCTGACTGCTGGCCATAAGGATTCAGCTCTATACATTAACTGCAAAGGAAATTATGGCAATCTGGGCACATCCTCCAGAAGAGAGGATGGGAGAGGGGGTCTCTCATAAGGGGAAGGGAGAGGGGTCTCTCAAAAGGGGAAGAAAGCCTGGCACTACCGGAGCCTGACGAAAGTAAACAGACGAGTATCTCGTCCGACCGTCGTCGTTGAGCGTTGGCTTCTTTGCCAGCGCAATACAGCGTGTGTCCTTTAGTTTCCGCTTGGGTCAGATTAAACTGCGGAGTCCTCGTGCGTTTGAATTATTGAATTTCTTCCTCCATAGAAATGTATTGGTGCATGCCATACTATCGGTCATGATCGAATTAAACAGAAAATAGAATTAACAGAGGTTAAATTAATGCAAGTCTACTGTATTTGCTTCCTACTTACTGGCAAAATAGTCTCGTGTTTTTGGGGTTTTTTTTAAAGGGGGGGGGGGGTTCTTTTCAGGGTTCTTCTTTTTGATGGGCTTTTAATGGTTTTCATTGTTTCCCCTCTGAAATTTCGGCCCTGTAAGAAGGCATTGGATGCGTTAATTGGTCCGGTTGGTTACTCTTACAGCAGTAGACGCTGTGTTACTGCACGATTACTCAGTGTCCCAAATCTCCCCCAAGTGAGCCAGAGTTACTCGCTCCAATGGATCATATGGCGTAACAGTAACAGTATTGCCGGGTCAGTTTTGAGGGTTAGAGTGAGCGCTCGTTCGTCGTAAGTGTTCTCCGCTTTTTATCAGTTTTTTTATGCACTCTGCTTTTCTAATGAATTGATACCAACCGGCCCAATTTTCTACACTTCTGACGCGGGTAGATTTTCGCAATTTCAAATGGCAAAGTACAGTGTAGAGTGATCGAGCCAAGTTAGCAATACTGCCCTGGTTGTTTCGTTTGTGCACGTGTGTTAAGACAACTTTACAGCCATCTGAGTGGCTGGAAGCACCGTGTGCCAGGAGACTGGGCAGCTCCCAAAATGTTTGCCTCCATGTCCCTCAATATTATTAATTGAGGAACTTCACCTTCTCGAAGTTGGCATTTTTGTTTGTTTCATCCGCTGCGGCCTAAAAGGGCATTTGCACTATCCCACAGTGCAACGCATTAGAGATCGGCACGGGTGTGTAAATTCTTATCGTCCCAAAATTTGGATCAACCTTGATTGTATCATGGAGATTCTACCATACATTCTTTACAGTAGAAGTTTACTAGACCCTCTCAATACTTGTTTTGTCCTGGTGTGTTAATTTTGCTCATTGCACTTTAATGGCACTTTTTTCATAGTTTGTGCTTACATTAGACCTTTCCAGAAAATCCCATGAGATTTTGCAGCATGGGGAATTGTGGGGCTGTTCAGATGAACGTTCGTGCCGACTCTAATGCTTTCTATATCCCGGATCTGGCACGAATTGTTTTCTTTTGTCATAAAAAGCTCTGTACGTACAAAAAAACTAAGCAAACACCAAAGGAGACCATTTTCCTTGTCTTCTCTACGTTCTGAAATTTAAAAAAAATGTTAAATTAACGTCAGTTACAATGCCGTACATCGGAATGTCGTTATGCAACAAGTTGACTGTAGGGGCGCCACATTTCCGGAGAAGTCTAACGTTGGCAACAGAAGGCTGTTGCTTCATTAGCTAGTATGTGCACAACATCATGCTCTTTTTACATCTCTTTACAGGAAAATGAGGCGCTCCTGAACCATCCCTCTCATTCGCGTAAGTGTTCCCATAAAGTTGTGTGTATGCCCGATTAAAGGTGGTTACTCTCAACATATTGGAGGGAGGCACAGTATGCAAGTACGGTACAGTTGTATGTGTGCATTTAGCAACTCTGCTAGCGCAAGCAAGTGATCGCCGGTTTTTTCACTTTTTCTCTCGGAATCAAAAGGTAAATAATTTTACCTTTTGATTTGATAAAAAATTTTATTATCGCAGGCTACCGTGTGGTGTAGCATTACAACCGCAAGCTCGCGCTGCGCCTTTGAAGCACAATGTTCAGTGCGCGCTAGGAGCGTTGCCGTGCTCATCACTCTAAAAAAAATGTTGTTGTCACAAATGGCTGGCTAACACAGACCCGCTTAAAATGCTTCGAGCATTTCTTTATTTGCTTTGTAATCACCTGAAAGCAAGTACGGGTATTCTGTCTTTTTGAAGTGCTTGGAATAAATGTTCAAGTTCCTTGTAACGGCCTTAAAACGCGAACCCATTCCCGATTTGTATTGCTCGATATACCGTTGCGCGACGAGTTTTCTCCTACTTATGGCAAATAAGACTTTCCGTAGACCGTACTATAAAGTTCATTATTAGCGGGAGCTTTTTCCGTCACGTTGAGTACAAATTGAGCTGGCGGCCATGCACAAGACCAGAAATTCGCAGCGTATGCGATGCAGGAAAAGTCCCTAATGATATTAGACATCCCGGTCCTTCGTGCAAGGCTGTTGCAAGGCGGGGCACAAGAATTCCTTTTTTAACGCGCTTGCTAAAACGGCTTCACGCATCTAGGCCGACAGTCCCTGCCACCGTTTCCGCGCCGCCGCCGTCCCCGCTCCTCTGGTTCTCCGTTCGTCCGCGGGAGGGCGAGCGGCGCGCTGGAGTTGCGAATAGGTTTATGCCAATGGCAAAACCAGGAATTTCTTTTTGGGGGGGGGGGGAGGGGGGGTTCAAAATTAATTTTTTTATTAGTATATATCGGCAGAAACAGAAAGGAGGAGGAGGAGAGCTGAGAGCAGGAGGGGGCATAAGAACGCCGAGTTCTGGTTGGAATGATTAATGGGTAGATGTAAAGCTAGCTCCCCTTTGTCACCACTGCACTCGCTGCCTGCGGAACGCCGGCGTCCGGGGTTTGACTTTTGCATTCGAATGCGTTGGAGTGCAGCGGAGACGAGGGCAGCCAGCTTTACGTCTACGCACTAATAATTCCAATCGGAGCTCTGCATTGCGACGTCCCCATCTGCTCGACTCCTCTCCCTCGGTCTCCGCTCACGTAGGGTTGGCTGAATTTCGAACACCATAGGCCCCCCACCCTCCCCCGGCTATGCCGCTGGGCGGTGCCGTATTAGTTAATGTACCATCGGAAGCAGTGCAAGAGGCAACGCCGGAGTGCGTGCTGCTCCTATCTATGGCATCAATCTGGCAACGCCCTGTCAAGGCACCATGCTTGTGCAGGAGACTCCCGCCAACGCTCCTCCGTCATCGCTGTGCAACCGTGGTTTAGCTAATCATCTTCGCACTACGTGGAGCACGGTCATGACTCAGTGGAATGTAATGTTTGTGGCAAAGCGAAGGCAGAGTGCCTATCTCAAGAGCGGACCCTTTTGCAATATTGCTTCGTTTGTTCGCTAGGTTTTGAGGGTGGGGTTTCTTTGTGTTGCTGGTTTGTTGACTCCGCTATGGAATCTAAACAAAAGCATATTCACCAGGAGTTTATCTGGTTGGGGGAGATTTACACTAATATAAAAGAAATTTCCAACCAATCCCAACATGTAAAGGATTTTTTTTTTTTTTTTTTTTTTTTTTTTTCAAGCCACTTTTTTTTAGGTATGACTGACTATGACTGTCAAGCAGCAGTAGTTTCTTATAAAGGAGGGGGAGGGGGGGAAAAGAAAACTTCTTTCTTTTTTTTTTCTTTTTTTTTTTTTATATCATTACACGGTGCAGTCTGCTGATGTAGCAAGTAACAATGTTGCATACCTCAAAAACAGACTTATAGGGAGTATTCACTGGCGGCCATAGCTGTGTGCGTGGCTGCTGAGCGCGTGCTGACGGCGAGCTTCCGCAGTCATTTGGGAGCGTGCTTTTAGCACCATCAAGGTTGCCAGTCTTAACAGGCTATTAATGTGAGCTCGTTCTGGCATGGCGCTCTAAACATCACCCTCAAATATGGCGTCGAGTGGATACCTCCTATACTGTTTACAAATATAACGTCCGATTTGCTTTTTTATTATGAAATATGAAGTGGCAAGGCACTTGTTGCTCCCTGTTGCAATGCGAGTGTGTCGCAATTTTGTAAAGTCCCTGCCGAGAGCAAGTCTCAAAAGAGAGGACAGTTATGTTTTCAGTCAATATAATGGTCGTAGACTAAGCCTTTAGGGGACCACATGCAAGTCCATGCAGACTTGTGTAAAATTTGTTCCTGGGCAATCAAGAAGAAAGTCGGTTTTAAAGGGCTGGGTGTCCTTGTATTTAGAGATGGGTTGGAGGTCTTTTCTACCGCATTACGATTAAAAACAAAATCTCTTGCATAGCTTCTGATTGAAGTCCTTGAGACGAGGCGAAGCTCTAACATTTGATAGTTTTAGATTGCGCAACCTTCGCTAGATGCATGATGCAGTCAAATGAACACAAACTCTGCAAGCATCAAATACCAAAACCTTAACCCGGCACCTTGCCATTTTTTTTTTTTGTTCGGAAAGTAAAGAGCAGTAGGTAATTTATATGTTGCTTATGTTGAAAGAATGGTTGTTCTTGTGTATTGGCTTTTGTATACATTGAGAGTTTTCCATGGAAATATTGGGAAACACAAAAAAAAAAAAAAAAATATATAAGCCAACAAACTTCCCACAATAAGCAGTTCACACTGTCTTACCAGGATCTTTTGCATTACCTGGTTTAGTTAAGAATGTGTACTTGCTGCTATTACTTTTGAACTAAAGGGGCAGCGCAACTATTTTCGGATTTTGGCCAATTAAAGGGACACTGACAGGGTATTTATGCTGGCCGAGGTTTTTAGTTGTACATGACATATGAGAGCCCAACTACCCAGAACACAATTTGCGACTCAAAATTCGGTTTCTTTCCGCCCGAAAACCGCCGTTCAAGGACTGGCCGGTTCGAGTCTCGCTCACTCTCTTTTCCGTGGTCACGGGCCGTTTTCTAAGGTATCGAAGCGACCACCAAATTTAATCAAAGTCCTTGGTCACTGAAGGCACACACTCAGTATTAAAAATAGAAAAAACATGAAACCCATTTTTTGTGACTTATAAAAAGCTGCAAATACGCTGATTGGGAAAAAAAAGTTGCACAGAACCAGAAGCATTCTGTGCGTGCGTCATTTCGCGTATCGTGGGACTTGCGGGGACGGCGATGGCAGCGGACGACGGGCGTGGGACCTCTACTTCAGAACTGTCGTTCGCGGTACCGGCGAATTCTGTCTTCCTTCGAAAGGGAAATTTTGGACTGATCAAAAGAATTGGCAGTCATCCCGTACGACATGCCCAACCACCAAGCCGATTTGCACGAAGACGTCGCCGAGCCGTCGCTCTCGTTGCCTGGCTGAAGACATCACTCGCGCAAACGTCAAGCACCATGCGAAGTGTTTACTTCGAGTTGAATATGCACGCATACAATTTCCTTATTAGGTGCGAATGTCGGCTATGCGTCGTGTTTCCTGACTTCGCCCCAGAGTGCTTTCGCTGGAGAAAAATTGGCAGCAAACTTTGAAACTTGCAGTTTATCGGCTGAATTATTACTAAGAAAGAGACCCCCCAACAAAGAGATGCCCCAGTAGCTCAGTGGGAAAGACGTCCGCTTCACACGCGGTAGGTGCGAGTTCAATCCCCACTGAAGTTTTTTTGTTTGTTTTTTACATTTTTTGATGTCTATGTTTCTTTTTTTACAATTATCACTGAAGAAACAAAGAAAAAATAACAAACAAATGTTGTGGACGACAGGTCGCTGAATTAAATGGTATGGGATTTCCTTTTTGACACCTGCAAACTCAATGCACTCACTTTCCACAAAATGCAAGGAACATATAAATCAGATAGCGTCTGCTTTTCGAGGTGCCTGTAAATGTTCTACAGGAATCGCAGCCAGCCATTGGTCCCGATCCCGTCGATCTTTCGTAAACTCTGTCGCACAATGCCACTTTTTCCGGACGCAGGACATGTGAGCCAGCTCTTCACGCAACATCTTGGGTGTGTTCAGGGGCGGATGCAGGAATTTCCTGAGGGGGGTCAGGTGTTGGTCAGCGTACCATTTGTTTAGGAACACCCTCTCCCTCGTTTCATGCCCTAAATTTTACACATGCAGAAATCAAGAGAGGGATCAGGACATCCGGACCCCCCCCTCTAAATCCGCCCCTGGGTGTATTCTTTTCCGAGTTGATCACGGAAATTCACCATGGACACTCGCTACTCACCTTCAACTCCTCAATGTACAAAACAACTCATCTTGAAGTACAGAACAGCGAGCGGAACAAACATAACTGCAAAAGAATCTCACGACAAACAACAGTTCCCACTACGCCACATGTCGTCTGCTACGGAAAGGAGAAGAAAAAAAAACGCACGGTTGGGTGTAGCCACGTGACTTCCGCCACTCACTCTCTTCTCTCCACTTCTCGCTGTGCGTGGGTTTCGGTTTCGAGCAGTTGAGTCTTTTGGCTTTATTAAAATATACGCTACTTTGTTGCAAAATATTAATTGGGTAGTTCGACACTATAATAAAGCGCCTGGCAAAAAATGAAAAATTTTTTTTTTGAGGGGTGTTAGTGTTTCTTTAACTGCGGGGATTAATCTGTCGCATATAGAACTAAAAAATAGGAAACTGTTTTTCTGTACCGTTTTTTAGGGAGCACACTGGTATTTCGTACACTTTTACGAAAGAGTTTCCCACATAAAGGATGGAACACAGACAGTACACCTTCAGCTTCACAAAGCTATACGTGTTGAAAGTCGGAAAATGGGCTGTCTGTGTTCTGTCCTTTGTGTGTAACTTTTTGGTAAAATAGGCTTTCCTGTACGCTCTAGTTTTTATTTAGAAACTCAAAACAAATCGAAGGTCAAGGTGCCCGTCAACTTTCACGCCTCTTTCAAGTGTCTCTGGGGGACCACCTGGTTTCCCGTTGGGTTCTCTCTTCAGACCCCAGCTGCTCGCTCCGCATTTGTAGACTTTTCAAGGATTAGCATCGCCGAAGGTTGCAGTGAGCGATCGACACTAGTCCGTTCTCCATGGGGCTGGTGGCGAGTGTAGCAGTGGAGAAGGACAGGTTTTTTTTTTTTACTTTGACGTATACCCTAGTGGCGTTCCGCCATAGTTTTCGTAACCGCCACATATGGCTGCTGACCGGCAAGTACATAGTTTCATTTTTTCATTTGCAATTGAGCAGCGCAATTGCGGCATTTTTAGGCAAGGTGGAGAGTTTTTTTTTGTCTTGCGCCTAGATAAACAATAGAAAAAATGCAATGCTGATTCTTTCAACAATAAAATCGCTGCCTTTAAGAAGCTTGAAAAGGCAGTTTTCCCAAATCATCTTGGTAGACCTGTTACTGGTTCGGATATGTGCTTCACAGTGGTAGCTTGGGCTCAAAATTATTCTCTGTAAACTCTTCCTGCTAAAACTCGTCTATTAGTAATGCTGTTGTTTACTATTATTTTGCATTGCTTATACACAGAATAACCACCAGTGTAGACCGTTTGGGGAAAAGAAGTGAAGCAAGTAACATTAAGTGAGCGCTAGTCTCTCGGCACCTGTGAGTCGTCGGAGGTGTCGATAACAGAGCACAATGTGTACGGGCAACATGTGCCCAGCGTTTTCTCCCCCTATTGTTGCCAATATGATATTACATATGCTCATTTTGCTTCTCTTTTCAGGTAAATGGCAATCATCATCAACCTTCTAATGTATGCAAACAGACTATTTTATTTTAACCTTTTATTGAATTTTAGTATTTTGCAGACAATAAACATATTCTGAAACCCAATGTCGGCCTTGCATGTCTTCCGTCTGCCTGTGGCCAGAGCAACAGGGTCTTTTCTCCCAAGTGCTTGAATCCAAAGCTGGGGCTGATAATAAAGCTCTGTTCTGGCTCTGCCTTCGTACAACCAAAGTGGTCTATGGAGGCGAGCATGTAACTAACAAACTGCCTGTACAGGGACATTTTAAAAAAAGACAAGAATGCACTTATGCATTTGCCTTACAACTGTTTCATATGTATACAGCTATGTGCAGGCATAGTTCATTGTCGTTTACAGGGAGAGTGACATCAAGGGCCTGTGTGGCCTACAAAGAAACTGCCATGTGAAATGGCTTTTCAAGCCTCTTCATACATCTTTTCACAAATGGCGGTCACTGTACCAGCACAAGACAGTCGTGTGTCTGCATCGCTTTTCCAGAACACACTCTGCGCATTTCCCATTTTCTTACACTGATTATTGTTGCTGGATACGAGTTCTAGATTGTGCTGTTCATGGCTAGATAGCTTGCATCAAAAGTAATTAGCCTACTCCGTGCCTGTGCCAGGCCCCGATAGAATACCAACTTGATCGGGCTCGCTGCAAGTTGGTCAGGCCCGCTGCAACTGGGGAAGGTGGTTTCGGCACGGCAAGAGGCCGAGGCATGCTTCATTTCCTAAATTTGTAGTGGTTATAAGAAAGTGTCGGTGCATTCGATCTGCTCAAGAAAAACTGCTGCTGCTTTGTTCCCGAACCGGGCCCCAAGAACAATTCTTGCTACCTGACTGGGACCGTGGGCTGGGCACAGGTTTTTGGATCTCAAAGTGCTCAAAAGCAGGGGGGTATCCAAACATCGGCCCGTGAGCCAAATCCAGCCTACGGAAGTCGTCAAACTGGCCTGCTGCAAGTTGCGGTCCTTCCGACGAAGCAAGGTCCTCCAACTGCTTCCAGCAGGCCTGCTACTATCGGCGCAAAAATAAGTGTGTAAAGGAACGGTGCTGCAATGCGCACCAACCACATAACCAGAAAAAAGCAGTGAGAAAATGGCCTATCGTAGGCGCATCCATTTGTCGCATTATTCGAGAGACATGTCCTCGCCATCATCAGCATGCTTGGTCCCATTTCATACCTTTATAACTTCGTACCAAGAAAATTGCTGCACGTTCCCATCTGTATTGGGCTTACTATCCCATGTTGTATCTTGCATATTGTCAGCATCAGTTCTATCATTCCAATTATTATTGTACCCTGTTGGAACATACCGAAGTATCTACAGTCTAAGCTCGTAATAACGCTGTAAAAGGAGTATGTTGTATGCAGATATGAAGTTGAGTCAATGGTATGTAGATGAAAACCAACTGAACTTCACAAATCCATATGTTATATCCAAATGTCTGTTGTAACCAGGTCCGTTATAATGAGCTAGGACTGTATGGGGTGCCGATTTATGCCTGGCAAGTCTTGTGGGATCTGCATATTGAGTAGTGTCGCAGTTTTCAGCTAAATACTGTATTTAAAAATAATGTATTCATCCACCAATATTCTTTTTTACTATAACTTTCAGTTCTTAATTTATTGCTTCTTTACGATTTTTTTTATATTTTGTTTCTTTGGCCCTTGAGAGACAGATCCCTGATCCATCCCCTTAGCAAAAAGAAAAAAAAAATGGGACCCCTGCTCTAGAGTACACTGCAAGTATGGTTGCATGCACTCCAGATGCTGATCTCTTACAGCCGTAACTTTCGTCAAGCAAAGTAAAACAAATTGCATTTTGCATGTGCATTTGTAAATGTCTTACTTTAGTCATAGTTTGAAGGGAGAGTTGAGCATATGTCGCAGACTAGCAGGCATGCTGACGTTCCCCGCTTTCTCCTTGGTGTTGGGGCAATTGGGCAAAGTTTGGTGATGGCTGGAGCAATACGATTTCCTTGGGAGCACTGGCACTTTGCTGTGGCAAATGCACCACTGCTGACCAGACTTAGCCATTCTTGCCTTGGAGCTTGGAAGCCGGTTTGGCTGAAGTTGGTACTTGCCGAACCTTTGTTCTATTAAAGATTTCCCACAACCTTTTATACTTTGAAAATCAAGCTATCCAATGAAACATCACTATAGGAAAAAATAAAAAAATAAAATAATACATGTGTACTGTAGAGCTATGCCATTTCGCAAGCACCTGCCAAATCGTTTTTACTCCGTTTCATGATAACTTAGCGAACTGTGGAGGCTGCGGCCCCCATGGCCCAATTTGAGCGTTGGAGCAAAGCATGCGACACTGCTTCATGTTGAGGCCACGGAGGCCTCGTTACCAGTGCCGTCCCGAGCAAAATGTAGTTTTAGGCTTTTTCTTTTAGTAGTGTTGAGCCAGACTCATTTGACTGCAACACTACACGGCTCAAAAGAAGGACAGACATGTTACTTTACAACGATACTTCGTATGGATCAACACTTGTCGGAGATCAACATGGCTTTTGAATGATTGCAGTCGTGTAATCGACCACTTCCGCACAAAACATTGCCCTGGCATTAGTAACTGCCACAGATTCGCAAGTAAATAGGCCACTTTTAAAAATCCCTCTATGCAACACTTCGCGCATTGTACGCTGGGAACCAGTTGGCCACTGAGCGGAGTGGCATGGTTTGGTACTCCTGTAGCCAGGCATTTGAACTTCTAAGCCCGCATAACTTTTCTGCATGCGAACATGCTTGCACGGCAGGGGCACCAGCTGGGACGCTGCAATCCATTGCTCTACATTTGCTTACCTTTGCCCAAATTCCGGCACATCGGGAAGCACAAAAACAGTGCCAAGTGTTTCTTACGGTGGAGCTGTTAAGGGCTAGTTTCCCCAGTATCGTGTCCCGGGGCAAACAAATGTCGACACAAAACTCCGGACAGCTACCGCCTCCTACGAGTGATGGCAACAACCTTTCCACTCCGATTTTCACCAGAGTGGAAAGGCTGAATTTCTCTAGGCGTCGTCCTCGAGGTTGTACTAGACATCGTAAAGATAACAGCTTTGCTGGTCCTCCATCTTCACGTTAAGTGGAAGGGCTCTACATTTTTTTCGGTATCTCTCGGCAAAGCCAACAGCACTGTACACTTGCAGAAAATCGCAGCAATGAAAATGTGTGTGTTCCGTCACGACACAATCGTGACAAAATCTGAAACTGAAACCAAAACCAAGTGGCCAACTGGTTCTCAGAATTCATTTCGTGCCACAGGGGCGTTTTGATTCGGGAAAAGGTCGATTGAGCATATGGTCGTCTCACGAACTGTTTCCGAAAAGCACTCTCCTCTAGCGGTCGGCAAAGTTGCAGGGGTGGACGTTCACCCCAGGTTGGTTGGTTTCGCAGCAGACGATACTTGGCCAGCAGACAAGAGCTGGTTCCTCCAGGCCTCGCATTTGCTGCAGCGACACGAATGCTCCTGACATGGTGTCATATGCCTCGCTCTTATTGGCCATAGGCTCCAGAGTTTACGAAGTTATTGTGAAACTGAGTATAGAGGTACAAAGACGAAACTTCCCCAAAGTCGTCTCAAAATGGATACCACTACTGTTTATAGCCTCACTGTCATTGGACAGTGCATTGCATATTGGTGGCTGCATGTAGCCATGTAGCAAACATGCTAAAGATCGATTCAAGTTGGCACATTTCTATTGCACTTGTTTGAAAAGGCATCTCACTGGCCGCAAGAAAGACTGGCACAACACGCCGGCAGTTGGAACAGTGTTAGTGCAGTAGTAGTTTTCTTGGTGAACCTGTACAAGCTTGCAGAACAGGATCTAATGCGGCTGACAATACCATCACACATTGCTTGCTTTACCAAGAACTCAAAGGTATTGCCTTTGCGGTTAAAGAGAGCCTACATCGGCCTGATTCCGCCTTTCGTCGTTTCCATGGAAGCATACACTTCGGCGATTTTTTCTTTAGCCTGCCTTTTCGCCTCGGCGCTCTCGGCCCTGTTCAGAACGTCGAGCATCACGGCACAGTCATATTTCTTGAGGAACTTCAAGCACGACCTAATTGTTCCGGCCAGTTTGAGAACCCTCAGCGTCGCTGCGTCCTCCTTGATCTTCGTGACGAACGGTAACGCCGACAGTGTCAGCGTGTGAGCACCCCGGCGGGTTCGCAGCAGAAACACGCGCGTGTAGGGGTTGAAAAACTTGATCGTCAGGTGGAACCTGGTGACGCCGACGCCGAATTCGCCGTGGAGGTACTGGATGGCGTTCCTCACTGAGCCGTAAATGTCTTCCTCGGCGACTGGGAGTTGGTGAATAGACGGATTCTGCCAGTCTTTCCACAGGATCTCAACCAAAATGTAACGATGCTTCAAACGCACCATTTTGTATTTCTCGATGTCGATGGTAGAGGGAATTACGCTGTGAGGACGAGGCCAAGCGAAAGTGAAAAAGCGAAACTGTGCGAGACGGCTGACCATGGACGAAACCGCAATTTAAAATTATAGAATAATTTATTTTGGGTTTCTCGTAAAAAAAATATTGCAAAGGCTATTAAAATGTCGAACCCTTTAGAAATAAAAAGTGAAAAACGTTTTGTTTCGTTTCGTTTCTGCAACGAGGTTGCTATTTGGCAGTGACGACGGTCGTCGACGGCCATCTTTCTCGCAGACGATTTGCGGTTTTGCTAGCGTTACAGACGCTCGCGGCAGCATGCTGAAGACACGCTTTCTCCTCATTCGTCGTCATTCGTCGAAGAAGATTTTTAAGACGCTGAGTAAATGCAGGCTGAGGCTTGCCGTTGAGAACACGTGAACATTTTTACTAAGGCTCAGTGCAGGAGAAAAAAGCCACAATTCGTCGAAAGCAAGTTTCGCCGGTCACGTGGCATGGTCAAAGCTTCCTTGGCACGCCGAAATACTGCGTCTCTGTCAGGGCGTAAGATAGACAGGTGGGGAAACGAGAGCCAAATGAGCGACCGGATTGTGTCCCCCTCGGGTTTCTCTTTTTCTGTGGCGCCATCTATGTGGAGCACCGCGAACTCTCACTCCGAGTGGGCGACCGGTGGCGACCGGCTAAACTGACGGAGATGATCTCTAGTGGATTTCTATTGGAGGACTGTCGTGCTCTAGGTTTATTTTGCGCACTCTCCGATAAAGTTCCATGCAAATGCGATTTCAGTTTTTTTCCTCTCGCCGCAGCACCATCTGTCGCCAATCTGGGGTACCGGCAAGCAGACGAGTACACAATCCGGTCACGGCGCTGTGAAAAGACGACGAAGTGATCTGAGCCGGAACGCAAAAGCTTCTATCTCTGGAATTTTCTATTCTACGCGACTTCGTCGGTCCCTTGGACTTTGGGGTCTACTCGGACGGCAGGAGCTAGGGCAGCTCCCTGCACAGCAAGAGAAGGGATGCATGCTGGTATGTCTCTTTCTGAAAACGACATATCCATCACGGCAGCACAACACCAGGCCAGCAGCGCACTCGATGAGTCCCAGGACTGCAGTAGATCTGTCTGCTCAGAGACCGCCAACATGGAGAGCGAAGATTCCGGAGGCGAATGGCGCAGATCCGGCAGAAAGCGCTGTCGTCCAAAGAACAGCGACTCGTCTCCAGACGTTCCGCAACTACCAAAGAAGCATGATAACACCAGCCTCACCGTCATCTTCGTTCCTGTGAAAGAGGAGACCAGACTTACAGCGCTCAACAGCCTGAAAATTTCCGAAGCTTTTGAGAAGCTCTGCCAAGAGTGCATCATCCAAGTGCGCCCCAACGATCGGCTGAACCTGATCGCTGTTGATGTTCGCAACGGGCAGGCAGCGAAAACTCTACTGAACACTGCAATGCTCTGCGGTGTTCCAGTAAGAGCCTACTCCCCACTGTCAGGGCCCATTTCGTATGGTGTCATCCAAGGCGTCGACGCTGAAATCACAGAAGACGAGATTGCGCGCAATCTTCGCGCTGAAGACACATGCTGCAAGATTGCCAACGTTCGAAGACTTGGACGCTCCCGCGTCGTGAAGGTCGCCTTCACCAGCACTAAGCTGCCAAGCTACGTGCTTCTAGGGCACGTTCGTTATCCAGTCTCACCGTTCACAGACAGACCGTTACAATGCCACAATTGTAACTGATTTGGCCATAAGAAAATCGCCTGCCAACGCCCGAAGGCCTGCTGCCGTTGTGGGCAACACCATGACGGGACGGGTGCTGAATGTCAGTCCACGACAGTGAAATGCGCCAAATGCAGTGGAAAGCACCAAGCCACATCGCATGACTGTCCAAAATGGATTAAAGAGCGTGACATTATAGTGTACTCCAAGAATTCAGTGGGATTCCGCGAAGCGAAGTCAGCCTTAGATCCCCAAAAGAGACAAAAAACTGGCACCGCTGAGATCATAATGCAAGACGAATCAGAGCAAACGATCTCTAATGCAGGCGCCAAAAGCTACGCTTCTGTCGTCGCTGAGGACTGTCAGAAAAAAATCGTTATCAACCAAGTACCACCGAATGATGTCCCAAGTGATGAAAGGCCAACGTCGTCCACGCAGCAACCTTCCTCGCAGGCGCTTCCAAGGCATCAGGCAACAAAACGAAGCACTGAAAGGAAAGAAAGCGACGAGACTTCAGGCTTACCCATCACAACAACACCCGCCCGGGTCTCCATTATCAAGACAGTTGCAAACATATTCCTGGCCATATTGTCTAAATTTGAAGCCTCGTGGGCTCGGGCAATTGCTACAATTTTGCAGGCAATGCTTCCCCTTCTGGGGGCATGCTAGGGGGACCAAGTAACGCAAATGCGCGACACCGTGGGCAGAAGACCCTGAACAGACAAAGAGCTCCAATATCTCGCCAAAAGAATAGCACTCGTCAACAAAGGCGCAGTCCAGTGTTTCCTTCCATTCTTCAATGGAACGTAAATGGGCTGCGCACGCGCCTTCCAGGGATGCGCGAATCTTTGAAAACTGAGCGTGCTGATATCCTGGCTCTTCAAGAAACGAATATCGTACCTGGAGAAGAGCGCCTTTCTCCATATGTGTTCTACCACAGTGCCCCCATAAATCCTAATGATAGGTCACGAGTGGCGATACTTGTACGTGACGATGTATATCATAACCCCATAGACCTTTCAGACTTGAATTCGGCCATGGAGGAGTACTCCGGAGTAATTGTTAGAATAAAAGGATGCGATTTCAGCTTACATCACGCCACACGGAGTCTGGAACACAAAAGTGCTGGAAGAGATTAAAAAGAGAATACGCGGTCAGCTTATCATCTGCGGAGATTTTAATGCTCACAACGAGGCTTGGGGTGGTAGACGAACGGACGCCAGAGGACGACAGCTAGAGGCTACCATGGCAGAGATTCAACTTCGAGCTCTAAACGATGGGTCCTCCACATTTCGTAGGAAGGGGCTCAGCCCCACTACTATCGACCTGACTTTGGTGTCCTCCGAAATATTTGGGTTATGGACGGCTCGACCCGACACAGAGGGAAGTGACCACGTGCCTATCAGAGTGACACATCCAACTACAAGCCCCAAAAACGTGAAAACCTGTAAGGTGACGAACTGGGATTTATTTCGTCAGTATGTTGCTACCGCCATTGAGAACGTGGCAACTATGAAGATCTAACATCTTGTATTGCGGAGTGCCTGCGACTTGCCACGGGCTCCGTCACGGTGCCCGTTGCATGCCCTGCACCTGACTTGGAATGGCTAAATCTCCGCGCAGCCCGAAGACAGGCACAGCGAAGGGCACTTAGCACGGACGCCTTATGGGACTGGACGCGCTACAACCGGATTGACGCTAAATTTAGACGACATACGAAAAAACTTCAAAGATGGCAATGGAGACACGGATGCGCATCGCTCGGCGGTGCTGGTGGTGGTAGATGTGCTTGGAGACTCGCTCGAGCCCTCGCCGGCGCGAAAATTCCGCGTCATCCTATTGCAGCTCTTGCAATGGAGTCCGGTTGGCCCATGACAGTGGTGGCGGAGGTATTAGCGGACGAAATTTCGCGGCAGTCATCCACTCCGTTACAGTACCGGGAACAGTTAGGACGACTACCTCCAGTTCCACTCACCGAAGATTAAAATAACGAGGCAATGTTGGCGAGCCAATCCGATTTTACTCTGGCGGAGCTCACTGAAGCCCTTCACAAGTGTAACAAAAAGAGTGCTCCAGGACCGGATGGTATAACCTACCAAGCGCTCCGAAACGTCGATCCTGCCTACCACCTTGATGTTCTTGAAAAACTGAACCTCGTATGGACAACCGGCATCATTCCTGACGCATGGAAGGAGTCAACTATCGTCCCAATACTCAAACAAGGAAAACCTGCCGCGCTGCCGTCGTCTTACAGACCAGTGTCACTTACAAGTTGTGTAGGCAAACTACTTGAACGGATGGTCCTTCGCCGTCTCACCTGGTTATTGGATAGGATGAAAGCGTTTCCACCAGAACTAGCAGGCTTTCGAGCAAAAAGGTGTCTCCGGCGATGCCATTGGAGCTATTGCGTCAACCCTCGAGGAGGCAAAAGCAACAGGGAAGATGGTACACTGTGTGTTTTTAGACATCAGTCGTGCATTTGACACTCTCCCTCACTTCACCATCATCCACCGGCTGAAGCAACTCGGAATTGGTGGACGGATTCTTTCCTTTATCAAGGCGTTCCTTTCTGGACGAACCATCCGCGTCAAAGTGCCTGAAGCTGTCAGCTCTCCACGTCCAACAGACCGAGGAGTTCCTCAAGGCAGCGTGTTGAGCCCCATGCTTTTCAACATAGCGATGGCCACCCTCCCTGGTTGCTTACCAACAGGACACTCCAATCTTCGTACAAGAATGGCCATATACGCGGATGATGTTGCAATTTGGTGCGTCGGACCCTCGAAAAACGCGATCGCAATTCGCAATCGCCTTCAAGTGGCCGTTGATGCCACGGCGCTAATGATATCGAGATTGGGCCTTACCCACTCAGCTGAAAAAACAGCTTCACTTCTATACCGGCCTGCAGGTCGAGCACCACAAAACGCACTGCAGCTGAAACTTGCTGAGATGCCACTCAGAAGGGTTAGACAGCACACCTATCTCGGAGTTGTCTTGGATGACCGTGTGACTTGGAGGCCAGAATTTCGTAGGACACTGGGTCGATGCCGACGGCTCTTGCGAGTCATACGACAACTTGGAGGATGCTCTTGGGGCGCTCCACAACGCGCTCTTCTCCAACTTTATAAGGGTCTCATAATGTCCAGGCTCCTGTACTCGCTCCCTCTTTTAGCCATCGGAAGAGCTAAATTAGAGAACTCGACACATTCCACCGAATTGCTCTTCGCAGCTGCTTGGGGCTCCCCCCTTCGGCGGAAAATATTGCGACACTTGTGTCTTCCGAGGAATGGCCGCTTTCCCTACGACTGGAGGAGAGAGCCATGCGCAACATTAGTCGCATGAGTGCTGTACCATATG